GTTGGAAAAATAGCGATGTTAACATATCACAATAAATAATTACTGACCATTGATTGCCAATTTTATCTGCTTAATGCTGTCATTAGCCATTTGGATGTGTAAAATTAATCAATAGTATTTACTTTCAATGAAGGTGTTGTGCAAACGAACATGCATTATTCACTTACATTTTTAAATAAATTTTTCCAAAACAAAACCCAAAACTAACCAGTTATTAACAGAAATCGAAAGCCAGTATATAATTATTGAGCATTGCTATTGTTTTTGTGAAGTAAGTTTCTTATTAAATTTATATTTGTTTAACCTATTAACATTTTTATTAAATGTATTTGTTTCGTAACCCAAAGTAAGAAAAAATATATATGAATTTAAACTAAGTTAGTTAGTTTTTGATAGTTATTGAATAACAATTTTCCTGTGCGACTATCGATATTTTTCCTCCTCCCCAAAACGCCTTGATTAATGTTCGCCTGCCGTGGAAAATTCGATTAAAAACCTGCCCTGGCTGTTCAGTTGCCACTCCACCACATTCGTCGGCCGAAAACAGAAGTTGCTGTCCCCCCACCCCGTCGCCACCACCATTCGGTGTCACTTTTCCACCTGCCAAGAACTTTTCCACTCCAAAATTCACTGCCAGAGCCAGCAGAGTCGAAAACTGTGGTTTCGAAAAACGAAATGATTAAGCGGAGCAAGGCCGACGGCTTTTATAAGCCAGCAGTAGCGGCTTAGAAGCCGATCGGCCAAGATCCGCTGCTGGCAACCTGAAATGCGGTGCTGTTAATTGAAATTTGTATTCCGCGGCAGCGAGTCAAGTGCTGCAAACGACGACGTCTAAGGCCAAGCGGCCTGGCCTGGCTCATTGAACTTGGCTAAGTCTCGGGTCTAGACATTAAAAACAACAGCATTAGTGAGTAAATAAAAGCACAATAAAAAATACAAGCGAAGAAACCAAAACAAAAAGCCGAGAGAGTCGCGTGCCGCTTTCAATTGATATTCCGCCGGTGTTCACGTGAACAGAATGCGAGCGAGCGAGCGAGTGAGCGATTCATGGGGAATTCTTGGCTTAAAAACATTTTCAAAAATATTTTGTTTTGCCTATTTATAGACAGCTGCAAAAAGGGGAAAATGGATAAAGTGCAAAATGAAATACGAAAAAAGGAAAGGATGAGGCCCACTAAATCATGCGCAGCCAAGTCAAAGCAAATTGGCAATTTTGCAAATCGACATCGTCACATAAAATTAATTTATTTGCATACTATAATAACGCAAATGCAAATGGCAATCCAGTTTAAACCGCCTGCACTTCATTAGTAAAACAAACTAAAGGGGTTTGTTTTGTTTGCGGATAGTTGAAATAAATTATGGAGATTATTTCTGCGAATTCTGTTTTGCGTAGTCTCTTGGCCTTTGTCTATTTTCGGTGGTGATCTCTGATGGTTTTAAAACAAAAAGCCGGAATTAGACTATTAGAAAGCTTATCTTTATGTTTATTTTGGCTTGAAGAATTTCACATAAAATGTATTCTTAGGAAAATAAAATTACTCTTTCTCGTTTACTATATTTTTATGGTTTAAAATTTGATAAGCTGGGCTTAAACTTTCCTTCAAATTAATATGCTGGGCAGCCAATAGGAATTTCACATAAAATTAGACATGCAAGTCATATTCACTTTATTTTCTATTGTAAGGCATTACTCATACGCCCTGTAAAAGTCAGTCTTATATATTTTTCAGGCTCATAAAACCCAAGCCGGAATTGGGCCATTAGAAGCTTTTCTATACATATCAGATTCCCTTTAAATCATTATATATGCCAGCTTGCAATTGTTCCTATCATAAATGAATTATTTTACATAGATTTTCCCCAGAGATTACTCAACCCAGTAGAGTTCCCAAAAGCCAATTCAGTAAAATCACATAATCAAGAGCTCCCCGGAGATCGGTTAATGACTTCCGCATATCTCAGACTGTGTAAGTGGCGGAGAAAACCCGCCGTACTTGAGATTATGCAGAGTGTCATTCAGGTTCTCTTGATTGGCTCTTGGTCTGACATACCTAAACTTATCTGATCTGCAGATATCATCTGAACAATTACCTAATGACAATTGCACGAACAGGAAAAGTTATACCAATTTGCCAAAATTTCCATATCTCTCAGGGCAGATGAGATTATCTTAACTGGAAGCCGTAAACTTTCGAATTGCTTGTTGTCACACAGCACAACACACATATTTCCTAATTAAGCTTGGGGCCGAGATACGAGGGGTGGACCAGCCAGAGGAGGTGGCGAAGGCGGAGCGATTAGGGCGGACAAACAAAGTCCGATCCGTAGACAAGTGACACTGAAATTGGCTTTTGTTATTTCGCTTCGTTCTATTTTAGCACGTCTCAGAACACTGCACGAAATGTCAGGTACTCGTAATGCTACTACTACCCTTTGAGTCGAAAGGGAGGTGTGGATGGGGATGGGGATGGGGATGGGCATGCAGTCGGATCGGGGCAACGCTTCGCTAGCACTGAACTTGACATTGTCGAGGTCTGCTTTCAATTTAGAAATATGTCAGCGGCACAGACTATTTTCAGAGCGGCGCGCACTGTGCACATCACGCACTTGTTGCGCCACAGATTCAGATTCAGATAAAGATACGGATGCAGAGAGAGTGGTAGATGCTGATGAGGCAGCTAAAGAGTTACAGGTGGGAAATGGACTTAAAGGGTATGAGTTTAATACCCCTTTAGTTAATTATTTATGGCATAATTTAAACGTAGTTCCGGATTTTGTTAATTCATTTTTATGGGTATCTTCAAGAACACTTAATTTTTTTGTTTATGTTAATATACTTTCAGAAAACTTATAAATAAATTAATTAATTTATCTCTTAAATCCCACAGCCATGACTAAGAATGGACACAGCAACACAGCCTATGTCAGCGATCATGCAGACAAGTTGGAGCTGGCCGAGAAGGGTCAGAAGAACAAGGCCATAGTGGCCAAGGATCCCGACTACAATCCCTACCACAATCGCGAGGTAGAGCATCCCACGACGTAAGTAAATAACACTAAACATAATAAATTAGAAACGTATCCACTAATTATATGGTTTTTCCACAGAAATTCGGAAACCCTCTTCCATTTACTGAAGGGTTCACTGGGCACTGGTATTCTGGCCATGCCCAATGCCTTCCGTAACTCCGGCTATATCACAGGCTCCATTGGCACCGTTGTTATTGGTTTTATTTGTACATATTGCATCCATCAATTGGTCAAAGCGGAGTTTGAATTGTGCCGAAGAAAGAAGGTAAGAAAATATTGTAAATCTGTTAAAGTTTACTAAGACTAATTAACTCATTAGCAGATGTTTAGTAATATTTAAATTAAAGCAGCTGCTTTTAAAACCTATTTTGTTGTTAATATTTACAATCAGCTGCATGCCTCACTCAAGTATTATTATTTTCAAAGCAAAAGCTAATTTTTTTTATTAATAAAAACCCCCTTCTTCTTACAGATGCCCAGCATGAACTATCCGGCCGTGGCAGAGACAGCTTTGGGCGAAGGACCCAAGTTCTTCCGGTCTATGGCCCCGTACATAGGCACCGTGGTCAATACCTTCCTGCTGATCTACCAACTGGGCACCTGCTGTGTGTACGTCGTATTCGTGGCCTCCAACATTAAGGCCATTGTGGATGCTGTGGGCGATACCAACATCGATGTCAGGCTCTGCATGATCATTATCCTGTTGCCCTTGATCCTGATCAACTGGGTGCGCAACCTCAAGTATTTGGCCCCATTCTCCACGCTGGCCAATGCCATCACCATGGTCTCCTTTGGTATTATTTGCTACTACATCTTCCGGGAGCCCGTGACCACGGAGGGAAAGGATGCCTTTGGCAAACCGGAGAACTTCCCGCTATTCTTCGGCACCGTTCTGTTTGCTTTGGAGGCCATTGGCGTGATTCTGCCGCTGGAGAACGAGATGAAGACACCGCAGAAGTTTGGCGGCAGTTGTGGAGTCCTTAATGTGTCCATGGTTCTGATTGTGTTCCTGTACGTGGGCATGGGTCTCTTTGGCTATCTGAACTACGGATCGGCGGTGCTGGGATCTATTACACTGAATATGCCGGAGCATGAAATGTAGGTTTATTTAGGGATCTCTTTTGATTGTCCTTTGATCTTATGACTGATATCTCCCTTAGCTTGTCCATGTGCGTCAAGGGAATGCTGGCCTTTGCCATCTACATCACCCATGGCTTGGCCTGCTATGTGGCCATCGATATTACCTGGAACGATTATGTGGCCAAGCGCCTGGGCCCCCAGCGAAACGCTCTCTTCTGGGAGTATGCCGTGCGAACGATCCTAGTCCTAATGACCTGTAAGTATACTATGGAGTTTGTACCAAAAGATTTCTATATAAAATTTACCTCCATAGTCCTCCTGGCCGTGGCCATTCCCAACCTGGAGCTGTTCATCTCCCTGTTTGGAGCCTTGTGTCTTTCTGCCTTGGGCCTGGCCTTCCCAGCCCTCATCCAGATCTGCACCCATTGGTACCACACCAAGGGACTCAGCAAGGCCTGGCTGCTACTCAGTGAGTTTACCTCTTATACCTGAAATCCTAATACTAATCCTTAATTTTTTTAGGCAACTTTGTGCTCATCATTGTGGGCATTCTGGGCCTGGTGATCGGCACTTATACATCGCTCAAGGAGATCGTGCTGACCTTCTCGGAGTAGATGCGTGAGGGAAGCTACTAAATCCGCCAGCGGGCATTCCAATTCAAGCGAAAGTATTATGAGCAATCGGAAGATATTGAAATCTGTAGACATTCGCAGTGCAGCACAAATGACAAGCAGATACCGATGCAGATACGGTTAAAGATATAGATACAAATGCAGATGCAGATACAGTTGAGCTGTAACTACACTATGTGTTGCGTATTTGTATAGAATTTATCAGATTTGTGATATTTTTAAGCATCGTGCCCAAGAATCTGTACAACAAATATGTGTGTGTATATCGTATATCTCTTTATGTAGTAGATAACATCTTGATAAGTAGTTTAGTGCCAAGTCACATCTTTATAAGCCTTATTTAAAGTACGATAGCAGTCAGCCCACATCAATAAAATTGTTTTGCCATATTAAGATACGTCCTTTATATAATCCCTGAGGGCGTGGCATAGCCTCCTGGCACCATCCACCAGCTTATCTTTCGGGTAAAAGGCAATGGACAACCGGAAGAACTGCTTACCCGTCTCGCCATCCAAGGAGAAGCGTGGTCCGGCTATAAAGTAAATCTTGTGATGCTCCAAACTGTACTTGAGGAATTCCCTGGCATCGAGCGGATCGGGTAGCCGCACCCAGATGAAGTACCCACCCGTGGGACTGACCAATTTGCATCCCTCGGGCAGCTCATTGCGGAGCACCTGGGTGGTGGCCAGCATGCGTTCCTTGTAGGCCTCGTAGAAGCGAGCAATCTGCTTCTGGGCCAGCCTCAGCTCGAAGAGGCTACCCACAATACCAGCCGTGTAATTGTTAAAACAACCGCCGCTGTTGGCAAACCCACTTCCATCCAAGATTGGCTTAATCCGCGGCGGAACCTCCAGCCAACCCACGCGTACGCCAGGTCCCAGGATCTTTGAAAAGCTTCCATTGGAAACGACATGGCCTGCAAAGTTGGGATCGCTTCTGTCGTCATAGGACATCAGGCGGGAATGTTTCGGTTTCTCGCCATAATGCAGGATAGTATAGACATCATCGCAGACCACCAGGAAGTCGTATTTGCGGGCCAGCTGCACAATCCCACGACAAATCTCTGAAAATATTACAAAGAATGATAATTTCCATAGGATTATAATTAAAATTAAAATTAACCTGGTGAAAACAATATCCCTGTGGGATTATGATAGGTGGGTATAGTGTAGTATATACCCCAGAACTCCTTGGTCTTTGAATCAAAGCGTCGCTTGGCCACCTGCTCCTCGAGATCCTTCAGATCCACACCATCATCGTTGAGCTTCACAGGAACTATGGTGAGACTGGTGAAATGCTTCATACTATCCAGGGCTATCATATAGGTGTACTCATCCACGAATATAAAGCCCTGGAAGTCGACCACCGTCGAGAGAAGTAGGTGAAGGCCCTGGGTAGCTCCAGTGGTGATCATTAAGTCCTCACTAGAAAACCACAAAGCTAATTAAATAATTGTTAAAGCCACAAAAACCACTTGACGATTACCTCTTGACGGGGCTCCCATACATTTCGCTGAAATATGTGGCGATCTCATGGCGCACCTCGTACGCCCCACTGGTGGGTCCATACTGGAAAATCAGCGACTGGTTGTCCCGCAGTTCCCGTTGCTGCAAGAAAACCCCCCAAAGGTCATTTCAAGGAGCAGATTGCGTAATTTTACCACTCACCAGGCAATGGTCCGTGGCCTTCCTGAAGTTGTCGCAGTTGGAGGCGAGGAGATCTGTGCCTGGAGCCCCAACCCCGAGGTTTAGGATGTCCGGCTCGTAGACGTTCCAGGCGCCGCCATCGAAGAGGTGCTTGAGCTTGCGATCTTCACTGTTCTGCGACATGTGTTCTGTGGTTTTCCAAGCATACTAATGCCTTATCTGTGGGATGTGTACTTGCATTTATAAACAATGGAAATCTAACATTTTGGAGGCCGTTTATACCCTTTGAAGGGGGAATCGTAGGGGTATAGGTTTAGATTTTATTGTGTTTTAATTAATAATGAAATTGTAATCAATATTTCACCGAAGCCGCCTACTTTTTTAGTTTATGTTTTTGTTAAAAAAAAAAAACTATAAATTATTTTGATTTTTTTTCAAATTATAAATTTATAAATAAAAAATAAAATAAATAAAAAATAAATAAATTATAAATAAATAATGACAAATTAAGGGGTACCGCGAATTCCAGACTCCCCAAAGCTTTCAACGTATTTCGTGGTTAATGGCGAAAAGCTCCATTCGCACCGCAACCCCAGCAACAGCTGATTGAAGAAAGCCTTTCTATTCGAAAAACTCGGAAAACTCCTCAATATGGACGCTGAAAAGCCCACTACAAGTGCCGCGGCCGCAGCACAGGACCCCAATCCGCTCCTGGACTCGCCGCTGCACGGACCCACCCTGTCCAGCGCCTCCAGCTTCGAGGCCCTGACCCGCCACGACCCGAATCTCAGTCGGCTGGCCACGAAGATGTTCCAGAAGACGGAGGAGTACATCACCCACGAGCTGAACGCGCCCCTGGAGGACTACAGGCTGCTGGAGGAGATGAACAGGGCCACCATAGCCAAGTACAAGGACATGCGCCAGATTGCGGAGAACCTGAACGCCTCGACCAGCGAGCTCAGCCTGAAGTTCCAGCAACTGGCCCCCCTGATGCAGCAAATCGACGAGATCTCCGACACGGTGGACAAACTGGAGGCGGCGGCCTACAAACTGGACGCCTACAGCATAGCCCTGGAAAACCGCGTAAAGTGCGTGCTCCAGAGGAAGTCCGGTGGCCAGGCGGCGCAGTGAACAAATAGACTTTTCGGCTTGCAAAGGCTTTATGTGGTACATTTGTTACGGTCTAAGGCGTCAGCCAAGTAATAGTTTAAATAAAATCGCAATTATATTAAGGAAGATCAGGGGAACTGCAAGAGGAAAGGGGTTTTTAGTTAAAACTGTGAAGGAGCAGCGGGCTCTACCTACTTTTGGCCACTGTGCGGATGGAGCGGATGAGGTTCAGCACCTGGTCCTTGGCCGTGGGGGCTCCAAAGTCCTGCTGACCCGCCTGGCGACCCCATCCAACTGCGAAATATGCACAAAAACATGACATGCGTGGCACAGACAACAAGTGTTAGTCACTCACACTTGGCCAGGAACCGCTCCTCGTGCAGGATGCAGACCGCGTTCAGGCACAGCAGCGAGGCTTCGATCAGCGTCCACAGGGTAAACATGTTAGCGGCAACAGTCTAATTTAACAATTTAATCCTAAATTACAACGATCGGCGGCTATGTCGGCGTGCGCGGTGAGTGTCGAGTCGTGTCAGCGTGCGCGGTGAATGTCGTCGCTGCTATTCACCGCGAACGCCGACACAGCTGTTTTGGAAAACGGAATGTCATAAAAAAAAAGAAGAAGACTTCGCGCAATATTCCAAAATTCCTTATCAGTTTTTACAGAGTTTATTTGCTAATAAAATTAAACAATCTTAATGTTATCAACACTTTTATTGAGCCCACGGCAAAACACCCAAGGCACATTTGGACCAGTCGTTGTCTGAAAAGAATACAAATAAAATGTAAATATAATAAAAATAAAATAAAATAAACACAATATATAATCATTATTGCAACGTAATGAAAACCCACCTTTCTCTATGCTCCAAAAGCCCAAATCCGAGGTTTCAACGCTGGAAAATGTATTTCCCCTACTCTGAGCTTGGGCAGACAGGAGTTTTTCCAGGTAATCCAGGCTATAGCTCTCCTCCGAGGAACTATCATCTTCCATAGGTTCTGGCTCCCCTGGTTTCTGGTCTTCCTTCAAGCGTATACTGCAGAGGTTGGTCAACGCCTCCAACTGAGTCTGACTAAAAGGTGGATCCGCCAGAGGCAACAGGCTAAAAACAACAATATAGCTTTACAATCCAGTAAATAGTCAGTAAAAGTATAGCTTACCCCTTGAGAATAGCCCCCGAGTACTCGCTAAAGGGAGGAACTCGCTGCATTATAAACTCCCTATCGAAAACCCACGTCTTGGCCTTTTTGGGATTGTCACCAAAGATAAGCGTAACTGCAGAGTCCACGCCAGAGTGTACCAGGAGGCGGCGCATGGTTTTCGAATGGACATTTGTGTTGAGGGAGGAGAAGTCCACCGGCTTTAGTTTATTGTCCAAATCAAGCTCCTCCTTGTACATGCGCTTCATGCGGAACAGCATTCCAAAGGTTTGAATCATCTTGGTGGCCCAGTACCTGGCCCCCAGCCGCCTTTCATCACTTTCGTTTGGATTCTCAGCCAAGCGAACCAAGGCCACAAAGAAACTCTCGATGTAGCCCTGCATGGCTAGTAGTCTAAACAGATCCTGGGTTCCAGCAACAAGCGCATCCTCGTCGTCACCGATTTCCAAGCCGACGCCCAGGAAGTACTGCATTTTAAGGAGACAACCCATGTAAATGTCCAGCAGATCCTTCATCGAAGAGGAATGGCGTTTTATCTTGACACTGAGGTCGCTCAGCACAGAGTCCAGGATCTCCTTGGAGACCTTCGCCTTCTTGCCGGAGGAGTAGACGCGAATCTTGTTGAACTCTGCGCTGGATTTCAGTTTGCTGATGGCCTTAAGTTTGTCCGCTCCCCTTAGAAGGCACTCCAGGGTTAGGTCGTAAATCTCCAGAAGGCTGCTAACCTCCTCCTCGAACTTGAGCTTGTCCTTGCGCTGCAGCTTGCCCGCGTCCAAATTGGACAGGGACTCCTTGTGCGGCAGCCAGTAGTACGTCCGCAGCCACTCCAGGCAGTGCTGGGAGGTGCTCCTTAGCACCTCCACCGGCGGCAGCTCCTGTCCGTGGGCACACAAGTGCCGCAGGTCCACGATGAACGACTGGAGACCCAGTTCCTTGGCCGTCTCGTACATGCTGCTCATGTTGTGGCCCTGTATTATGGAGGACATGAAGTTGTAAAACCTCGAGAAGGCGCTGGCGTAGGTGGTCTGTATCGTGGCGTTGCCCTCCTTGTCCGCCAGCTGGGCCTGGACGAGCACCGATGTGGCCAGGACAGCCGCCGGGCAGAGGTTCGCTCGTCGCAGGCCCCAAACGCGGATTTTACTCAGAGCCTGGCGACGATCGGCGGTCTTGGAGCCCTTTCCGAATAACCCGGCATAGGTCTCATTGAACTCCAACCTGGAAATGTTTATAAACAATTAAATTGGTGTTTATTTATTAGGTTTAATGCACGCACGTGTCTCGCCAAGGGGTCACCACAGTCCTTTGTTTTACCGCTGCAGGTGGGGTGGCAGGGGATGTTTTAGCATTTGGCGCTTTGCCCTTCTCCGGGCTTTTCTTTTTAGCCACTGGCTTTTCTTTTTTCCCCACTGCCATGGCTGTTTTTAATGTGTTTTTAAATGAGTTTTAAGCAAAACAAACCGCCTTTGTTATCAGTGATGGCGAAAGGCAGGGGCTGCCAACTTGCCTTAAGAAATGTCTAGCTTTTGTTTGGCTATTTTTTCGTTTCAGTTATAATAAAATGATCAAAAATGCTAAAATTTAATGATTTTATGATGAAATTCTCTTCAAATTGTTAAATTTTCATTTGTATGCATAAAAGGCGTCAAAAGGCGGTACATTTAGCCTTATTAACGCACATTTCTAGCTAATCTCAACTTGGCAGTCCTGATTGCAGTGTGACCAACTACACTTCTTGGAATTAACCAGACCTTCAGCGTTTTCCCGCCAACTGGGCATACTTGGAGCCAAAAATAATATTTTCTTCTAAAGTTTCCTCCTGCCCGCCCCCAAGGGGACCCCTCCGCAAGATCCTTTCGCCCCCGCCTGCCGCGACAACACATGCATTTCGCCCACCACCCCGGCTACACCTACGGCAGCAACGACAACCACCTGGTGGACACTCTGAATCCGGAAAACATCGAGTTCGATGGGCCGCCAGCGGCGCGCAAGATGATAATAGGCTCGTTCTCGATGTTTGTGATCTTCTCGTACCTGCAGTTGCTCTATATACTGGTGGCCATCTACCTGGCGCTGCACCACGCACACCACTAGGGCCGAAGGATGTACCACTTTGTCTCTGAGCAGACGCCGGAGCTGCGGCTCTCGGCGGATGCGCTGGTGACCAGCCACGTGACGCAGTACCTTAAGGGCTTCCAGTTGGAGGCTGTGCGCTTCCTCTACGAGCGCCTGGCCAAGCGAGAGTTTAGCGTTCTCAACGACGAGAGTGGGTTGGGGAAGCCGGCGACGGTGGCGGCTCTGCTGAGTGCTCTGGACCGGACGAAGAAGACTCTGATAGTGCTGCAGAACGATGAGCAGCTGCTCGCCGGCTGGCAGTTTCACCTGGACACGCTCACGGATCTGGCTGTGTACACCATTCAAGGGGTGCAAGGTAACTAAATTAGTTTTAATATTTCACAATTGTATGAAAATACTAATTAGTTTTCCATTTCCCTCCTCCAGACACCACAGATTCCCCGCACAGCGTCTACCTGGCCAAGTGGAGCAGCTTGCGCAGCATTGGAGATCTCAGCCGCCTCAAGTTCGACTACATTCTGGTGGACAATCGCGGGCACTCGCTGAACAACAGCTTCTGCACCTCCATGCTGCTCAAGCATTTCGAGGGCAGGGTAAACATGGTTATCTCCAGCGTTGACATCACGGTAAGGCAATCGGAGTTGACTCACTTGAAAGCTTTACAAATCCACTGAGTTTCCCTCTCCGCAGTCCGATGTGAAGTTGCTGTACAACATTTTGCGGCTGGGCGGACGTTTGGAGCATCAGTACCGAAGCTTTCAGAGCTTCGATCGGAAGTTTCACCTGCCGGATCCCAAGGAGGTGTTCAGCAAGCGCATAGATCTCGAGGATTACTACAAGCAGCGTGGATTTCTCAGCGAGTATATCAAGTAAATTGTTAATTAATTATTTTAAGGAATATTCTGATTGAATTTATACGTTTTTCTTATCTTTTAGGGACTTTCGTCTGCGCCGCTTTCGCCATCAGTTTGAAAAGAGCCTTCCGCTCGTAGCGCCGGAGCAGTACAAGCACAATCTCCACCTCTGGCTGGCCTCCAAGAACAGCCAGAGCACCCTTAGCGGCTCCTCGGAGGTCTGCTCCACCATCGCTTCCCTGGAAAATCTTCCAGTTCAGCCACAAGAGCAGGATAAATTATCCGATCACAGCGTGGATGATATTGTGGCCATGTCGCCGCTGATCTTTGAATCCTCCGACTCTGATGTGGAGGCCATAACAGTAGAGGCTGTAGTGGATCCTAACCAGGTGTTGGTGGTTTCCAGCGACGATTGTGAGATCGTGACGCCTCCAAACACGCCGCCAAATCAAACGTCCGGAATGAAGGAATCGCCTAGATTCAAGTCCAAGAGAAAACTTAGCCAGCGGAAGACAGCACAAAAAAAGCTGCAACTTACGGATTCGGAGGAGGAGGAGGAACACCGTTCTCCTGGTGCTCCCAAAGCTGTGGAAGTGGCGGCCAGAAAACATACTCGTTCAACAGCTACTATTGAACCTCCTAAAACCAAAAGGCTCAACATTCGACTGAGAAGGGTGTCCTTGGAAAGCATACCCACCACACCGCCTGCCGCTGAGAAAGCTGCTGCCCTTGCCACACCCAAAACTGAGCCCTCGGTTAGAAAACGGAAACCAGTCCGGCAGGCAGTCAGTCCACAGGATACCAGACGTCCTGCCACTCGAGGAATGCAGCGACTAACTCGATCCGCCGAGTCTAAGCTTCACAGCAAGTACGTGAAGCACCACATCCTGGAAGATGCAAAAAGGACCACCCAAAAGAGAGCCAAGGCTGAGGGGAATCAAACGCCCAGGACAAGCAAGCCGCGGGTGAAGCAAGAGCAGAAGGAGAAGCCAGCTGAGGCCCCCCTGTTGCCCCCTAAGAAGCCCGAAACGGAGACTCCCAAACGTAAGGTAGGGCGTCCCAGAAAATGCAAGCAGGAACCAGAGCCAAGTAAGTCAAAGGCTAAGCCACCGGCCAAGCCCTTTAATCCCACGCCCCAAGTGCTCAGCGGCAGCTCCTTGTCCTCGGAGTACATGCAATGTGCCCAGCGAATACCAGACAACTTGGATGCCCTGGAGCCACCTGCCTTTCGGGTACCCTTCACGCCGCAACAGACGCCCTTGCTTCTGAAGCTGCCGTCTGCCTTTAACTTGCTTAGCGACTCGGAGGTGGTGGCCGTCACCCAAACCAAGTCACAGGGTGAGGCGGTGGTGATCAACAGCTCCCATGATGAGAGCTCGCCGCAGGATGCCACGCAGAGTCGTCGCACCAAGGCTTTGAAACGAAAACGGAAGCAGGAATCACCCACCAAGTCCAGTTTCGGGGGAGGACTGGGCTTGCCGCCGGCAAATAGAAGGGCCAACAAATCACCGGATTTATTTAGCATCTCCTCGGAAATGTCGCAGATACCCCTGGCCCAGCCACGGGCAGCCTCTCCCTTCGAAGGCTTCAAGATATTTGGCTCGGAGGTGAAGCAATTTCAGCAGCAGCATGCCAGAACAAATGCTCCGCCGCCGAAAAAGAACAGGGAGCGATCTTGCTTGGACATTCTGGAGAAAATATTCGAGCCACGGCAGGAGAAAACCAGTCCCAAGGTCTTGCCCTCGCTGCCGCAGACTCAGAAAGAGCCTGAGGCATCTTCAGCAGCCCTCGCCATCACGCAGAGAAGGAGAACCCTGCTGGAAGATGACTTCTTTGAGATCACCAACAATGGAGAATTCGGTAGTCGCATGCGGCTGAACTCCTCCGGAGGTGTATCGCCTGTGCAGCCGGATCAGCAGTCCGCCAGGGTCACGCAGGCCAATAAGATCACAAACTACTTGATAGGCTCGGGGCTCACCCAAGAAAAGACCCAACCGAACGCGGGAACGCGCAGCTCCACCAACGCCGCCGCCGCCACGCAGGCGCTACGCAAGTCTCCCAAATCGCCAAGACAAAATGGCAAGTCCACCCAGGCCACCAAGCTTACTCGCTGGTTTGGCTCGGTTTTTGGAGGCGGCGGCGGAATATCGCAGACCAGCTCCGTGGAATCGGTAAGTGCGCCAAGCACGCCGGCAGCTCCTTCGACGAGTGCAGCAGCCTCTCGGGCACGAGCGGCGAGGAGTGGTGGCCCCACCAGACGAAAGCGTCTTGACTTGTTTAAATAAGGAGCAGAACAAAGACACCATCAACCCTAAGTTAAAGTTAACAGAATCCAAGGAGAAGTCTTCTTGGGCTAAAACCACATATTCAAGGTCTGATTACAAGGGGTAATTATTGAATTTAAAAAGAACTTTACCTACAAAATCAGATATTGAAACTGACATGAATTAATCAAAAGCCAAGCTAAAGTTAACAGCAGTAAAACTTGTGCAAAAAATACTTTCGTAGGTTGTACAATGTTAAGTGTAAAACATTAAGCCAGCCTGAGAGCAATTAACTAGCCAATTTAGTTGAAATTAAATTTTTTGTGCACATTTTGAACATTATATAAACCCTTAGAACTAAGACCAACGATTGAGAAGACATGTAAACATTTTAAACATTTATAAATTATTTTAATCCCACAAAAAGTACTGAAGTTTCGATTTTTATGTGTGAAAACTATTATATTATAAACTAAACAAAGTTCTGAAAACTATTATTTAATTATCTCAAAGATTCTCGGAAAGAAATAAACTGAAATAAACTTGTATTAAAATCGGTAAAATTAAATATTCACTTGGTTCTTGTCCTAAGTTTTAAGTTTTTGAACATTTACTTTTCCCTCTGCTTGCTGAATATATGGGTTAGGTTGTGCATCACCGCCTGCCTCTGGAACTCCAGCTCCCGACGACACATGCTGCTTAATAAAGGCGGACACTGGTACTGGATGTTCTCCTGGGCGTAAGTATCTCCGTCGGCGTTCTTGAAAATGAAGTCGCTATAGGAGTGCACTGTGAAGATTAAGAATATTTTGATTAAAATTGGTTTCATATCCTCCTTTATCTTCTACCCACAGCAGTAGAATCCGCTGAAGAAGCAGGTCTCATGGGTGGACTGTATGGCATAGGCCACTGGTGTCACTCCGGGCATGGTCTTGGTGACCACATACTTGGCAGTGGCTGTGTTTATCCAGTGGGGCCAGTGGGAGAGTCGCTCTGTGTATTCCACCGTATAACGCCAGTCGTGGGCGTGGCCATGGTCAGCTAGGATCTTGAAGTTGATGCTGAAAGAAGTAACAAGTAAATATTAAATATTTACATTCTATCTTTATGATCTTTTCATTCGAAAATCAATCTTAAATCTCTCTATTTGTGATCATATCATTACAAAATCAATCTTGAATCTCTCTATTAATGATCTTATTGGACAAGCAATTTTAAATCTCTCTAAAATTGCAAACAGTTTCTAAAAATCTGTTCAATACTCACATGGTGGGGTTGAGCAGGCGCATCTTGTTAAAATCCGCCACATACTCCCAGACCTTTTCCGGTTGCGTCCGGCCGATAATGCCCTCGATCTGGTACTTGTGATAGCCGCTGGAGAAAACGAACACGTAGAGCAGCAGGGCGGTGCTGAGGAGCAGCGAGACCCGCTTTATATTCCAGCGACTAATATGCATAGTTCTGATCCGTATGGATTTCCGACACCAACTGACGATCGTGTGTATATGTCGGCCTATTCGAATTTCAAATAAACACATGCTGGAACGGAGAGAGTTCACCACTGGTCACGGAATCGGGACGCAGCCTCCGAGGGTATAGAGCGGGAGTACCACACATAGCTGAAAGAGAAAAGATAAACAAAAAGGGATCTTCAAGTACAGTGGCATAGGGCAGTAAGAATCAGACTCTTTCTTGTAAAAGAGAGAGTTTTTGGTGTGAAAAGAGCACCACATCAGCTTCCTGACCGATTCAAGTGCTGATAAAGCCATGTAGAGTATGAATATAGGGTTAGAGGAGGGATCATTAATGTTTAGTTTTATATTTCAGCAGTGCTTGAATTATAATTAAAATGTATATTTTAACGACATTAATATTGTATATAGTTTCTGATGAAAATTAATTGGATCATTAAACTTTTATTAAGAAAGATTTGGGGTAAAACTTGGATGATTTTGTTAGAATTATTTTTAACCATTAAATTTCGACACTTTTGTTACTCAAAAATGTTAAAATTTATGTCAATCTTTAGGGAGAAAAATTAAAAAACTCCTGGGCTTAAAAAAAAATATATAAATTGTAATTAAAGGTGAACGTTTTACCTTATTTTAGCTATATATTAGAGTATATGAAATATAAAGTGCTGAACAAACACCGATTACCTTTCGCTGAGGTAAGCAGTTCGAGAAGTTCGTGAGGAGAGGTCAAAGCTCTGGGGTTCCTTTTCGCCCCCCTTTTCCGCCCCATTCAACCTCCATACTTATACTTTTCTTAACAAAAAGTTAATATTATAAAATGGATATATTTAATATAAGTATTTTTATCAGAAGAAAAATTTTATAAATAATTATACTTCTCTCAAGAAAAAGAAAAAGTTAATAAAATCTTAATTTATTTATCATAAAATCATATTGTCAACTCAATTTTTCCCAGTGTACCATTAGAAAGCTTTTGGCGAATGGCGAAAGCTGGCCACCAGAAGCTCCGCCATATGATCACCGATTCTGGCGACTTAGTTTATAAACAACGCTCGCCGGCGGCTGTTCGGAACCCTCGGAATCAGCGGTATATATAGCGTGAAGCAGACCAGGCAACGTGCCACTGGCATATGTAATTGCTTATCACACCGAACTGTCCGAAATCGTTATGTTCTCGGCGCTCTTCCAGTGACAGCGACATCAACATCCCTTTGGCCCCCCCCCGCGAACCGTTGGCTTTACGTAAGCCAATTCAATTGTTGTTCGTCGTTTAAAATACGTTTTAGCTGAGAGAGCACATTAATCAAAATATACGTAATGCGGCTACTGGCGAGACACGCGATTCGGCTATTGGGCCAGGAGAACGGACGCGGTGGAGCAGCAACAGCAATCCGGCTAAAGGCCACAACCGGTTCTTTAAAGCTGGCCACAGCAAGTGCTCCAGCACTGGAGCAGCCGGCGGAGAAACAGGTGCAGAGAAAGGTGAGTCGCTCTAAGACTTCCAAAGTTTCCATTTGTTGAATCTCTAATTCTGCAGTACTCGCCGCTTACGGATACGTTTGGCAGACACCACACCTACCTGAGGATCTCTCTCACCGAGCGCTGTAACCTGCGATGTATGTATTCCAGATAGAAACCTTCAAATCCTACCGCAACCTGTGGGCGCCATGTTTTGTATCCTTATCAGTCTTATGTTTATATATTGTTATGCTTGATAGTAGTCGGCCTCAAGTGGATTTCCACCTTGATTGAATTTTGTGGCGAAATTCGTGTCTTACAAATGGCACAGCAGCGGGGGAAATATTAGAAATGAAGCTATTGTAATTGGATTTTTTGGCTGCCAAATTAGTATGGATGTTCTAATTTTATTTCTGGGTTATAATTTACTTTATACGAATTGTTTGATGTCTCAATTCAAGTGCTGTTTACTGGCCTTGGCTGATAAATGATAAAGTACTCTTTAAAGTGCCAGAATATTCTATAGCTTTTCCTATATCAAGATATTTCATAGCAGCAATTTGACTGAATTATTATTTTGACTTCATCAAAGTCACTTAAGTTCATTATAATAATAATAAGACCCTAGAAAATGGTTGTTTAAAAGCTATAGTACACGTTTCAGTCAATTAAATATCATAATAACCAAGCAGAAATTACACTTAAGCTTAAAATTCCATCAACATTAATCTCACCTATATATAAAATCCATTCCAGGTGACTACTGCATGCCCGCCGAGGGCGTTCCCCTGCAACCCAAGCAGAATCTGCTGACCACCGAGGAAATCCTTCGCCTGGCCCGCATATTCGTGGAGCAGGGAGTCCGCAAGATCCGCTTGACGGGCGGAGAGCCCACAGTCAGGCGGGATATAGTTGAAATAGTGGCCCAGATGAAGGCTCTGCCGCAGCTGGAGCAGGTTGGCATAACTACCAATGGACTGGTACTCACCCGCCTGCTTCCATCGCTCCAGAGAGCAGGACTAGATTCGCTCAACATCAGCCTGGATACGCTGAAGAGGGATCGCTTTGAGAAGATAACACGGAGGAAGGGATGGGAGCGGGTCATAGCTGGCATAGATCTGGCTGTCCAACTGGGCTACACTCCCAAGGTCAACTGTGTCCTGATGCGGGACTTCAATGAGGATGAAATCTGTGATTTTGTAGAGTTCACCAAGGATCGTCCGGTGGATGTGCGCTTCATTGAATACATGCCCTTCTCCGGCAACAAATGGCACACAGAGAGACTGATATCCTACAAAGATACCCTCCAGGCCATTCGGGAAAGGTGGCCGGACTTTCAGGCTCTGCCCAATGGTCCCAACGACACTTCCAAGGCCTACGCAGTGCCCGGATTCAAGGGTCAGGTGGGCTTCATCACCTCGATGACGGAACACTTTTGTGGAACCTGCAACAGACTTCGGCTCACCGCCGATGGGAACATTAAGGTGTGCCTGTTTGGAAACAAAGAGTTCTCCTTGAGGGATGCCATGCGCAGGGAAGACATAACCGAAGAGCAGCTGGTGGACTTCATTGGAGCGGCAGTGCAGCGCAAGAAGCGACAGCATGCAGGTGAGTTTGGATCCCAAATGAAACGTAGAACGACTTCAGACCTTGGTTACTCCTTCGCAGGCATGCTCAACCTGTCGCAGATGGAGAACCGGCCCATGATACTCATTGGCGGCTAGTAGACACACCACACTCTCCTCTCTTTCCCATTCCAGGTGCTGCTCCACTGATCCATCATCATCATCGCCACCACTATCTCTATCATCTCTATCATGCTTACCAGCCTTCAAGGCAGCAGCTCCAGATCAGAAACTGCAGCAGCCATCTCACCCATGTCAATGCCCAGGGCAAGGCCCAAATGGTGGATGTGGGTGCCAAACCTTCGACCACAAGATTAGCTCGAGCCGAGGCCACTGTCCAGGTGGGCGAACGGCTCACCCAGCTCATAGCGGCCAACGAGCTGGCCAAAGGAGATGTTCTGACGGTGGCCCAGCTGGCTGGCATCATGGGAGCCAAACGCACATCGGAACTCATTCCCCTGTGCCACAATATCAGCCTGTCCTCTGTCAAAGTGCAGGCCACACTTCTGAAGAGCGAACAATGCGTCCGTTTGGAGGCATCGGTTCGCTGCTCCGGCCAAACTGGCGTGGAGATGGAGGCCCTGACCGCAGTCTCTGTGGCTGCCTTAACCGTGTACGACATGTGCAAGGCCGTTTCCCATGACATCTGCATCACCAACATCCGGCTGCTGAGCAAAACTGGAGGGAAAAGGGACTTCCAACGGGATGAGGCAGCTAAGGGAATACAAGCTCCCATTGAAGGAGATCTCCAATAAATCACAAGACGCCCTTTCATTTCGTTACAGAAGTTGAAGGTTTCGGTTCTCTCTTTAATTTCGTGGCCAGAGTGGGTTAAGTTTAAATGAAGTAGGGAAATGGCGGGTGCTGGTGTGAAGGTGCGATTGGGGGCGTGTCGTGAACTGCGCGCCTTAAGCTAGAATTACATACAACATTAGAAACGCTCAATAATCGTTGATTACTGCTCGCAAATCCTGGCAGAGTTCCCTCTCAACATAGACACAATAAATACGGGTGCGGGGGATGAGGTAGCTGCGTCCCCTAGGACACCAGCACGTTGCGGTTCTCCGCCTTGCCCTCCGCATCTGTGCCCTTCGATCCCTCGGTGCCCAGATGCTCGCCGCGAATCTTGATGTTGTGCTCCTCCTTGAATTTGTTCAGCTCGCTGCCCTTTTTGCTCAGATCCTCGGTGACCATGGTGATGGTCTTGGCAATAAAGTCCTTGTTCTCCACCAGCTGCGGCAGCACCTCCTTTACGGTCCGTTCGCACAGGACGCCGCCAATCTGCCGGAAGCACTTGCGTTCCGGATCCGCCGCCTGCAGGGTTTCGATGACAGTTCTGCCAGGATAAAACGCGTGTAAGTTAAGATGTTTCAGCTGCAAAACCACCCCAGATGGTGTGGAATCCGATTGCCCATCTTTGGCCGCCGGGTGACTCACTTGTGCTCGCGCAAATCCATCTCCAAGGTATTCAGGCTATTCGCCAAATTGCGCTGATCATTCCGCAGCTGTTGGAACTGGGCCACAATGGCCTCTTGGCTGAGCCCCTGGCTGGCCGCCGCCTTCGCCGCTTCAGTGCTCATAGTGATTAAACTTAAACTTAAGAAGGGATTAACTAGTTAGTCGCTCCGAAAATGCGAAAATTAAGTTTTCTTTCAAAATAAGTCGGTGAACACGAGGGTAAAGGGGCAGTGTGGACGAGTTCCAAGCAAATACCGACAAAGTAGGTGTTCTAAAAAATATACCAAATAGAAAATGGTAAGAGTCTGGTCCCTCTAAGCCGTGTGTTATTTTTTAGTTCTGGGTTCTAAAACATTTTTTAAACTTTTCTTCTAAATCAAAAAACATTTAAAATAAATTTTCAAAATAAATAATAAAATTATTTTAAAAAATTTTAATTTAAATTAAATAATATTTAACAAACCAAAATTTAAATACCCTGCAGTTTGCCATCGTATGGCATATATCATTGATATATCACGATCATGACATCGAATCAATAATCGATCATAACTAAGCTAAAAAAGGGAAAAATGTATTTCCGAAAGGTTTTCTGGACTAATTTTTACTATGCTTAAAAAATCTGCATTCAAAATTTAATTTTTTAAGACAACAAAATTTTTGGCCATTTTTGAAAATTTTAATGATGTAACCCCTTATAAAATAAAAAAAAGCAAAAAAATAAATTTTTTCCGAACATGAATAGAAAGATTCGTCTGTTAATGCTGATCAATAATATATATGGTTTATAGGGTCGGAAATGACTTTTTCACTGTGTTGCGAACTTTTGACTAAAATTATAATACCCTGCAAGAGTATAAAAATTGTCGGATTTATTTATATGTTTCTAAAATTTATGTGTCATTTAACGCATTTTAAAACCTATTTTAAAAGTTTATTTATAAAATTCCCGTAGCATTTTGTAACCTATTTTTAACACCCCTATTAATTCTGATGATTTTGTTTATCCCATTAGCAATTTAATTTACATTTATATTCTTTTCTTTCCAAATTTAAAACTGAGTAATTCAGAAAGAGGCATTTTCGTATGACTCTCTTATGCATCATTCGTGATATCTGAAGATTTTCCTGGTCTAAGAGCCTTTAATTGAATTCAATTTAAAGATTTCGCAAGCCAGTCATTCCATGAGAAGTTGCCCCATTCAGCGTGGCTGTCGTCATCAATCAACAACTCTGGGCTTCGGGAGTCGCCATGTAAGGGTAATCTCTCGAGTCTATATACGGCGGCAAATGCGTCGCTTATCAATTCAATTGAAAGCGCTGGCTGTTATTAATAACAATAACCGTGCTTTATATTAACGCCCCTCCATAACCCAGAATAACCCTTCGCGGGATGAGTAATCCCACGGGAAGCTCAGAGGCGCTCCGATGGGAGGGCAAACACAGACACGCTCCGGAATTGACGGTCATTAAAAACATATAAAATAATTTATTCTGCTTATTAATTTGTTTAATAAATATACAATATGTAAAACTGCGGGTTAGTCGCGCAGGTCCGCTCGAAAAAATATGGTATAAAAAAGGACCCAAGTCGTGTAACTTTAACGCTGTGTTAGAAAACAAACAACACAGAAGAGGCACACACGCGGAACACCGAACACAGGACATTGACTTGGACTCGTTTTGGGTTAAGATTGCTCTGGCGAAGGCACAACATCGTTATCGTAATAATCGTTATCAGCGTGTCGATCGTTATTAGTCTAGAATTCCACTTCCATTAACACCTAAACACACAACGCTTTCGGTTAGGGTGGCTCGATGGGGTTTGGTAAAAAGTCGGAAGGTAATCCGAGGGACAAGTTTTAAGATTTAACTAATTTTCAGTTGCAAATTGGGTGGATTTTTTCAAGTTATTAAAAGTCTATTCTGGTTTCCAAATAAAAAAAAAATTAAAATTAATTATTGTTTAGATAAATGCCGACTAAAAATAAATTTTTACTACAATTCTGTCAAGAAGTAGCTTGCAATTTAAGTTATTTCGAAACCAGAACAGAATTATGACCTACATTTTTAGACACTGACGAAACCCTTTGGTTTTCAAGGCACAAAAGCTTAGCATCGTCCGCAGATTACCTTCAGAGCCACCCTAATCTAGGTAAATATATATAGATAAAACTGTAGAACATGCGACGAGGTTTGTGCTTGGCACTCGTTAAACTCCACTCCTCCCTCCGCTCCTCGCTTTGCCTTACGACCAGCCGCCCGTCAGCTTGTGGAACATCTCCTCGTTCAGCATCTGGTTGTTCTCCTTGGAACGCATGGACATGAAGATGTAGCCGCCGATGAACTCGTGCACCACCTTGCAGTCGGCCGATTGGCAGGAGAAGACCACGTTCTCGTCCTGCAGCTGGATCATCATGCACTTGATGCCCCAGTTCACGTTCCAGGCCTTCATCGTGTTGTAGCGCCAGGTCTTGATGTGGTCCCCGGTGCTCAGGTCCATGCGCATGATCCTGTTGTTGGCCACGCCCAGCAGTTCCTCCTTCTTGTGGCCGTCAAACTTGATGACGAAGAGGGTGACGCCAAAGTCGGGCAGGGATTGCCAGGCCTGGATGTATTTCAGCTTGGCCTCCATCAAGGGCAGCTGGCGAACGTTGGCATGGGCCTCCAGGATCCGCTGCACCGCCTTGCTGGAGAGCTTCCGCAGCATCTTCTGGGAAAGGTAATCCATGGGCTCCACGCTCCTGGGATTGATGGTGAGCGGAGCTCCCTGGGCGGGCTTCTGCATCTGGAGCAGGGAGCGAATGCTGCTCACTTCGCTGTCGTAGGAGCTGTCGGCTAGGGAGCGTCCCTTGGCTGCCAGACGGCAGGCGGCCATCCACTTGGCGTACTGCTCTTCGTTCTCACATCTCACCCAGACCTCGCTGTTTGGGCCATTCCTGCCCTCTGGGGGGACCTCCAAGCGGATGGCAAACTTTCCCTGGGCCAGGTGAACATCGGGCGTCACCTCGCAGCCCCTCAGGTTGATGCTGATGGTGGGGGCACCGCGCCTCGATTCCTCCTGTGACTTGTACAGGTGCAGGTGCAGATCCCTGTAGGTGAAGAAGTAGCGCTTGTAGCCCTTGAGGGTGAATCTCTGCGGCTTCAGGAACCGCAGGTAGTCCGAGAGTTCTGGTATCCTGGTGATGTTGCCCTGATCCTTGCCACCTCCTGGGCCCTCCAGCGTGATTTGCAGCTCGTTGAGAGCGGAGTCAATGTCGTCGTCGCCGCCATTCTCCTGACTTGATGAATCTATGCCGGAATCGATGCCCGGCGGATGCAGATCGCTCTGGTGATTCACCTGGAACTGCAGGGCGGCGAACATGAGGGTCTCCTCCTCGGTGGCATCCAGCTCCTCGTTCAGAATGCTCCACTTGGCCTGCTCGTACAGTTGATTGATCCTCACTTGGTCGTATTTGGGGTTGAGGTCGAAGAAAGTGAAGTACTTGAAGCGCAGACAGAGGGTGTCGTACTCCCTTACTCCCTGCTCCATAATCGAGAGCGACGAGTCCAGCCAACCCACATTGAGGCGTGCCTTCTCCACCAGCGTCTTTGGTCGGACCAAACGGGCTCTGACATCCGGACTCGGTGACCTTGGCGACACTGCTAGGTTCTCCTGCAAGTCGCCGAAACTAGAGTTGGAATCGTAGCTGGCGTAGCCAGTGGAGTTGTGCTTCCAGGTACCCGTGGGCGAGCTGATGGGCGTGCCCGGAGCAGTGGCTGCCCTCCGCGGTGTCGTTGCGTACGGTGAGGCTGGCGCACAGAGCAGATTTCCGTTGTGCGAGCGGTCCAGGCTGCCATTGCTGCCATTGTAGGCTCCTGTGATCGGGACAAATGAGTTTGTGTCCGGCGCTGGCTTCAAGTAGGAAATGCCATTCGCCTCTGCCACCGGAATCTTGCGCTGCGGCAGCTTGGAGAAATTCTTCTTGAGATGCTCCGGCTCCAGGGGCTTGCTGAACGACAATTCCTCGGGGTAGCGGATGTCCAGGTCCTTGCACAGGCTCACCACGGCCTTGAAGGTCTTGTCTGAGAAGCTGACGCGATAGTCCAGATACCGAAGATCGGGCAGCTGCACTCGCAGCGTCTTGTGCATGGGCGTGAAGTGCAGAAAAGAGTCCGACTGGACGCCAGCCTGGTCCAAGGTCGAGCGCGTCCTGGTCAGCCAGACGTTCTTTGCGGGCCACCACAGTGCGTGGTCTGACCAGTCCTTGGGCATTTCCGGGTCCACCAGCTGCAGCATGACGCCGCCAATGTGCTGGTCGCCCTTCACGCGCAGAGTTTTCTCCACCTGCAGATCGGTGATGAGGATCCGCAGGTTCCACGTATTCTCGCCCACATGAATCATCTCGGATGCGGGGGCGCCTGCTGTTGTCGTTGACCAGTCAGTCCAGAACCAAAACTATAACTGAGTCTATATATATGGCGCAATCAGAGTCTAAAATTGCCCTCGAACGATGACGTAATCCAACTTACGTTCAGCGCCGTTTTTGCAACGAAAGCGTTTGCTGGGGCCGAGGGAGGGGGTCTGGGGGCTGAGAGGGGCGCCCTTATCTCGCCAGATGTTATGTTTGCTTCGGAAACAGCAGCGCAACCAGCGGAAAACAGGCCAGAAGCGTAGTGGCGATGGTAATCCCAATCAAAAATCGGCTACGACGACACCTCTCCACTTGGGACGCGGGAGGAGGGGCGGACACGGTGCGGATGGGGGAGGGGGGCGACGCGGAAAGCGGATCGCGGTTCGCGGATAGGAACGCTCAATTAATACACACGCCCAAGGTTGCGATGAGATATGTTTTGTTTGGCACTCTCGCTCGCGCTTCTGATCTCGTTCGCTGCTCTGGCGTCTCTGCGGTGCGTTGTTTTCCTCGCACAGAGGCGACCGACCAATACTACTGCACGCGCTGAAAGATGCGATGCAAATTTTCACGAAAACAACACGTCGCGGGCGGGCGCACAAGCTACAGATAGAGAGAAATTAATTTATAAATAAATCAGTCACGTCCAGTAGTGGCAGTGTGGCCAGGCTGGCACTGCGCCCAAGTGTACTAAAAAAATACCGAAATCACTAGATGGCGGTATTTTTTAGAATTAAACTATTTATTTTTTAAACTAAAATTGTTATTTTAACAAGTCCATTAAAAAGTTTTTACTATTTTATAATCTAAAAGAGCACTGAAAAATGGCAAAATCTCTCAAATTCCAAGTCATTTTACATACTTTTTAAGAGAGTAATTACCAATAGAGCTTAATTACTTAATTATGGCCCTCACCAACCAGCTGCAAACTGGTTTTCCTCCCACGCCCTCCCTGTAGTGTTCCAAGATCAAGGGTTTTCCGTTCAATATTTAACATTTAAATTATTTTTTCCACTTGTTTTTCAAATGCTAACAATTCCGTAACCTTTTAACTAGGTATAATTTCTTTTTTATTTAAAAAATTAAGAAATTTGTTCGACTGTTTGAGATTTTTTAGGAGGAAACCCCAATTTTGTATCTGGCAACACTGCTGTCTTCTCTCCGCTTCACACCGCATTCGTAAACAAAGACAATGAAAGCTCCTCGACGGCTGAAGTTTTTCGAGCCAGATAGTTTTTCGCCGTCGAGTCGAGCGCACGAACGCTAAACAAATTTAAAAACTAATAGTGCTTAAAGCGTATTGTGTAAAACCCGCCGCGTCTCAGCGCTGTCTCGCTCTGGCACACACGCAAATACCGACACACAAACACACACACACGCGGCAATATACATACCTGTCCGAGAGCAAACGAAAGCGGTGCAAAGAAAATCGGGAAAATAGGCTCTGAAAAATCACTCGAATTTCGAAACGCAGATTAATCTACGTTCGCCGTTTGCTCGAAAAGTGTAGTGTTTAAATCAGTTAATTTAAAAGGCTGGGAAAACAAAGCTGTAGCTTAAAACCCTGAAGAAGAAACATCTGGGCGCGAAAAAATCGATTCAGGGCGATGTAATATTGCCAAATTTACCGTACCTCGGCTGCAATCAACAATTTTGACAGCAACAAAAACTAGGCGGACAGGGAGAGGCGGCAGATAAGTGCAACAGAGAAAGGTAGCTAGCGGCGAATTACGTGTGATAGTAAAAATATAAATAAAAGCGAGAAGCGCAACAACCCGGGCTTAGTCATCCGTGCGAGATAAAGAGATAAAACTGCAAGCCTGGTGTCTGGTGCCTGGTATCTGCCAGATACAAAACAGATCTGGAAAACCCCTCCAGCAGAGCAAAAGGAACTCGCCAAATCGGAAACGTAATTACAACACTGCAGCGGCAGCGGCAGCAACAACAACAACAACACGGCTACGCCTACGACACGCCAGTGATTACAATAACAAAAGATTGAGCTTTTGTTGTAGCTTGTGGCCTTTGAATTTGGTTGCTCACCTCCATCGGCATCTGAAATTGGGCATTCACAAAGCGGCTTAAATACGCGGTTAACCAACGGCGGCTGTGTAGCACTGGAATCTGCAAGTGGCACACCTGTTTGGCCACGGGTCAGAGTGGAGCGTGGAGAGCGGACAGTGGAGAGCTGAAAGCCAATTGGAGCACGAGCACCATCGTTGCAATCACATCTCGCCATGTCTCGACTCACCGAGGAAATGGTGATTGCGCGGGCCAAGCAGTCCGATCTTGGCCTGATCAAAAAGCTTAATTGCTGGTAAGTACGGGGTTTATTATTTAAACTTGCATATTTATAAATAGTTTCGAATTCGGTAACTAAAAGTATTGTTCATGATCCAATCCAAATATGGTTTTCCGAGGCTAGATTTCTTTTTCTTATTGGTACTTTTCAAAACGTTGTCACACTACTTAAAATACTTAGTATAGATTAATAATTATAAACAATTCAAATCAATGAGTCTTTAAAACTAAATTATTAGCATTAAAAAACGTACAATTTTCAAACACAACCTCTTCCGACTTTTTTATTTCTTTGATATGAAAATGTTTACAAGAATCCTTATTACGTTGACACCATTTCCTATATCGTAGCTTTTATAACTTTATATATTTCGATGAAAAAAAATGTTTTGTAAGCTTAAAAAATCATTAAAAAAATGTATACACGTTTCACCAGTGTGCCTGAAATCGATTTTCGATCTAATTTCCGCCTGTGCATTGATCTATTGCTAATCGTGCCGAGGCAGGTGCAGCCGCAGTGAAAGCTCCGATCTGTTGGGTATAGTATGGGGTATGGGGCATGGAGTATGGGCTCTGGGGTCTGGGGGATCTGCCCACTTTGCTGCTCAGCCCGGCTGCTCCGGCTGCTGGCTTTCACTCGAGTGAGCCGGCCACGGTTCCCCAGTGTGACCCAAATCCGGGGGCAATCTTCTAACCAGTTTAGAAGTGTCCACTTTGGGAGCAAGTCACGATTCCCTGGGCTGGAAAACTCGCGGCACTCGAGGGGGCGGAAGCCGGCTGTTGGAAAAGCGTGAAAAGCTGTTGAGCTACTTTCCGAGATGCCTCCAGCCTCTTGACCCGTCTTAGATTAAAGCGGGCGATGACTTAAAAGGGGCCTCCACGCCACACTTATCTCCATTATAATGCCATCTAACGTGTTTTCTCTGTTTATTTCAGGGGAAGTGATCTCAGCGATGTGTCCATCATCAAGCGAATGCGTGGAGTGGAAGTTCTAGCGCTGAGGTAAGTCGGGGAATGCGTCTCATATAAGGATCAGCTCTCTCGATTAACGTTTTTTCAATCCGACTCGGAGAATCCCCACTGGGAAAGAGGGGGAATGAGGTCTCATAGCGCCGAGATATGTGTTTGCTTTCCAGTGATGTCATCGCCCCATCATTAGGCAAGCAGAAATACGAGAAATACTTTGGCACGCTCAAGCGCGTAATTAATGCAAAAAGCTGTGGCAAAAGCTACAGAAAAAACTACAGAAAATAAGCTGAAAGTCGTGGGAGCTCCGAAATTGGCAATACCAACTGGCCCCAGTCGCACTCATTTTTAGGCCGCGTAGGCCCAAGCGTAGGTCGCAGATACTCTTGACTATGACTCGTATTTGCCAGATACTTATATACATACGTATCTGTGCCTGAGCTTGTACTTTATCTTGTGCTCGTACTGGTACTTGTACTTGTTGTACTTGCATGTTGCTGGGTCCGTTTCTGCTGCTGTTGCCTTAAAAGGCGACAATCATTTTGACTGCCAAGGTCACCGAAATCGATTCGCCCGCCAAACTTCTCCGTCATCTGCTGGCAATATGCTGACAACTCTCGGCTGCCTCACGATATATACATACGTTTGTATAATTATGCACAAGAGGAGGTGTACCCCCGAGCTGGTGGCCTTATAGGGAGCAAGCTTGGGGCGATTGGCAATGAACTTGGGGGATGGGAAGCGTGAGAACAGCAGGAAATAATATTTTAGGTATCCGAAGTAGCAGATGATATTTCATAAATCGAGAATTCTTAGTTTGGCAAAAACTTTTGTGACACATTTGGGAAAGGAAAGTAATTAAGAAACCAATATTCCATTAAAAATCAGGTTTGTTTGTTAGGAAATAGTAATGACAATAATTTGGGGGAGTCTCCATAATATGACTCTTGATTTTGCAATAAAAATATCAGAATTCTGTTCAAAGAAATTCAGAAATGTAATATATTTATTACCTGAATCTTTGATTTTTAGCTGAGCACACGTACTAGATATTATAAATCATTTTAAAGTTTTTCTTTAGTATAGTGCAGAACGGGAAATATGTCAGAGAAATTATGTGGGTGTACCAGCTATTGACCTCAGGCTTTCGTCTAAATTCCAGTTAAGAACAGGAAATAATTAAATATAAGAAGCAGATATTCCATTAACAAGTAATCTGATCAAACAAAAAAATATATAAATAATATGAGCAAATATTAACTCAACTTACTTGAAAGCAAAAGTGCGCCTTTTTGGGAAACTTGTTTTTGACGCCTGATTGTTTGCATTCCCATAAAGTGACTCAGATGAAATAAAGACAAGAAAAAATTATGATGAAGAGTATTGAGGTTGAAACGAGTTTTTATATTAGGTTAAAGGATAGTTTAAAAAATGATTATATAAAGTTTAAGGTTTCTTGGCAAGCTAAGCTTTTTTCAAGGGTATTTTGGATGTATTTAAGACGCATTCTTGTGGAGAAACATGTTCATTTCCAGCAGAAACCAAGATTAATTAATCAATTGCAGTGACAAATTAGAGCTATTTTAGCTCTGAACAGTCAGGCTCTTCTATTAACAGATATATTGCTATATTGTTCTCAATTCCCTTATTATCAGTCAGCTATTAACGCAATCGCGACTTCTCCAACTGCTCCCTAGAGCTTTATCAGTCAACAGATAATGCCACACGTTTCCTATATACGAGCGTGAATGAACCAATTGATATGGCAAGCATGTAAACTCGAGGGCAATAACTTCTCAACTTTTCGAAACCATTGACTATTAAAGAAGGCTGCTCTGTTTGCATTATTTCACTGAGCTTAACACCAAACAACGAAAACCTTTCTGTCTCAACTCGTTGGGCTGTCTGCTGGGGCGGTACTATGTACGTGGGGTTCTCTGAGGGTCTCCTCCGCTTTTTGTTTGCCATTTGTTGTGCTAGGCCTGGGCCTGGAGTGAAGTGGAGTCCATAAATCAGCCATAAATCAGAGGTTCAGGTAAAATGCGTTGGTGTAGTCTTCCATTAGGTTGTGTTTATTTCTTACCCATACTCATTACCATTCCCTGTTCTCTGTTCCCTGCGTTATGAGTGTGCATATTGATTTGACTTGCGTGTTGCTGGCACTTTTCTTTTCTTTCCACAGACCTATCAATGGTTTTTCCACTTAGTGCCACTCGAGTGCTATTCAACCTTGACTTTAGCGTGGAACTTTGATTATGCATATCTGAGTAGGTAGAATTTATTCGAGGCCCTACTCCCAATTGGCCTGATTTTATGCCGAACTATTAATAGGGTTAGCGGAGCTACGAATTCCAGATACCAGACATTCACTGAGGCAATGCACCCGTGTGCCATTTAGGCGATGTTTCTGGCTAAGTTTAGACAGTTGTTTCGGGTGTACTCTCTCTGGGTAGAGGAGGAAATTGTTTCTGAGAGATACACAGGGGGAAAAATCTTTAAAAAATAATTTGTATTATTGTATTTTTACTTGTTTTGATGAGTTGTTTCAATATTTAAGCTGAGGGTTTATGACTTTTCATTTCAAATTCTTATCTGCTTATGTTCTCCTATTTAATTCACAAATAATCCCGCTTTTATGCTCAATATCTACCTTTTGTTTTTCTCCAGTGTAGCAAAACATATCTTTGCTTATTTATTCTATTAGTCAGCCCATTAAGGCACGCTTTTGGCCATCGGCAATTGGCCACTTCAGGGTAATTAGCATTGTTAGAGAGACCGAGGTGCTAAGCGGGGAATCGCTCGCAACGCGAACCTGACCTAGACGCAGACAAATGATGACAATCAGCTTTTCCTCCCCTTTTGAGCCTCTCTCAGCCTATCAGCCTCTTTAACTGTTGTTTTGTGGGGAATTCTGCGAAGAATCCGTCGAGTTAATGACCGCACGCAGCTGCCAGAGAATTCTTTTGTGTGTTGTGTGTGTTCCAAGCATGATTCACGGCAGTTAGTTAATGGTGTTGGTGATGGTGGCGCCTTTGTCGCCGCTCCAAGAGAAAGTTTCTTGAACCTTAAAGTTGGGTTTCTTTCGGTTCTTTGCAGCGTGAACAAGATCAGCACACTGTCCCCCTTCGAAGAGTGCCAGAAGCTGCAGGAGTTGTATCTGCGCAAGAATAATATCTCGGACATCAACGAGATAGCCTACCTGCAGAATCTGCCGGCCCTTCGCTACCTCTGGCTGGAGGAGAATCCCTGCTGCGATCAAACAGCCAAGTGAGTGACTTTTCAATAATAAATATGTATAAAAGAAGCTCCTAACGATCTGTCTAACCGCAAACTCAGCTATCGCGCCGTTGTCTTACGCGCCCTGCCCAACCTCAAGAAGCTGGACAATGTGGAGGTCACTCAGGAGGAGGTGGACGAGGCCTTGCGTGGCGGCGGTGGCCCTGTTGCCGAGGATGAAGTGTATGAGGATGCCTACCAACAGCAGCATCAGCAGCAGACGCAGCCGCAACAGATGCCGCAACAGCAGCAGCAGCACAGCTACCCGCAACACTCTCCGCCAACGCAGCAGCAACAGTATCACCAGCAGCAGCAGCAGCAACCGCAGCAGCAGCATCAGCGGCGCAGCTCCAGTCCCATGAAAGAGGTAAATGGCTTCCATTGTCTGGGCTGTTTTTTCTTCTCACACCACGCCCTGGTTTAGCGGCTCTAATCTCTACACGAACCCTGTAATCAACTCTCACCTCCCTCTTGTATCTCTTGTGTATTTCTGCTACCTCTGAACCCTATCCCGCTCCCTGTACCCTATTCCCATTAACGTTTAACTATGCATTGCTAATCAGCCGCCGCCGCCGCAGTTAGCCAGTCCGCTGGCCAACAACAGCAGCGAAGGGACCATCACCCATAGTGCCAGCGATCTCTACGGCAGCCAGATGCAGCAGGCACAGCCGCCGCTGCATGGCTCCAAGCCCCCCACACCCACCAAGGTAAAGGGAGAGGTCGGTCAGTCAGCCGGGAAGGGAGATGGGAAAGGTTTAGAGAAAGTTAGTAGCCTGTGGCACTTGTAGTTCTGTTTATAAATTTGTTATTATAAATCATTTTCCAGTAAGCATTTGTTTTAAAGTAGGAAAATCAAGCCATATTAATATTTATTAATTATTTTTGTATCACGTTTACATTTTGTTTATTTAGATGGAAAATTGAGACTAGAAATGTAATATCTTTTTGTTGGTTTCATTTTTCCAAATTTAAGTAACTACAAAGTTTTTCTTGGTATTTTAAATTGAGTGCCTCATTTATATTCTCTCATTTCATAATCTTGTAAGAGCCCTACTAATCTCGTTTCGGCATCCCCTCCAGGAACCCGTGCATCCGCCATCGCCCATGTATAACAATTTAACCAAAGAGCAGCGCACCTACCACCAGTACGACGTAAGATCCCACTGTAACTGCTCCCCGAAGAGTGGTAGTTGTAGTAACACAGCCCAACAGTTCCGTGCATCCGACATGACAGAACCGAGCTTCTAGTTTTGCTGGGGGTAACCTATTCCGAGGCTCTTCTATATATTTCTTTTTTCGAGAGGGTGTGGGCCCGTGTCACACTCGAGTGGAGAGAAGGGGACCGGGGTTTGGTTGGGGGCAGTCACGCGATGGCTTCGATGGCATGGTTAAGGTTCTCTTTCTCGTTTTCCCGCCGCCTGGCCATTGTCTGTTTGCCGGCATTTTTGGGTTAAGTCACTCGCTTGACTTTGGAGTCTCTAGCACTGGGGCCTGATGGGAACTGATGAGGGACGCACAATAATTGGTAAAGAAGACCGAAAATGAACTATATAAAATGGGTCATTATGTATGCATACACAGGGGAAAAATGGTGAATAGAAAAGGGAGTTTTATTAGAAAAAGATTAAGTAGAAATTGGGTAATAATCAGTGAATTAAGAAACAAAGAAGGAAAGAAACTTGAACAACAAAAACAAAGTTTAAAAATATACAAAAAATCAAAATATGTTGGAAATTCTTAGAATTTCATATTTTTTGGAAGCCATTTCCATAGCTTTGCAATCTACATTTATTTTGGTGGCTCCTCTGTTTAGGATTTACTTGGAGAGACACTTAAGACACCACTGAAGCTCCGTGAAAATGCCCCCACACTCTTGTAGTTACTAGCTCAACGTTTTGTCACATGTCGAGATGCCTCGGTTTACTGGGTTTATATTCTTGAATCTAGATCTAACTTATCTGCTGCCTTTTTCACCACGCACCGCAACCGTTCCCAAAAATGCAACCTAAAACCAAAATAAAAACCCCAACTAAAACACAAACCGCACTACAACCCACTAACGCCACCACGGGGCCTCGATGAGCAGCGCTCGCCGGGCTCCGACCAGGAGAGTAGCCCCCAGATGGGCGGCTACAGGGAGGTGCGGCAAACGCCGCTGCCGCCCAGCATCTCCACGCACTCGATGAAGGTAAGGACGGTGGGTTATTTTCCTGAGAATTACCAGATGGGCCACTGGACAACAATGAGAATGGGAAGGCAATCTAATTATGGTGTTCCCGCACAGGAATACTATCAGTCGGATCGACCTGCTGGCTACCCGGCGCATTATCGCCACAGCCAGACTGACCTCACCGAATGGGAGGAGCACCAGCAAGCGCCACAGGTGCACCACAATCCCTATGGCAGCCAAATGCAGCTGCATCACCAAACGCAGCGACGCAGCGAACCCACTTACCGGAATGGCAGCGCTCGGGAGAATGGCGGCGAGTGGGAGCCGGAGGACAGGCCCAGGTCGAGGTGAGTGGAGGTCAAACCGCGAGGTCATCTGGTGAACATTATTAGCTTAGAAGCTTAACGTTGTTGACGCTTATTGAATTGTGGGTAAACATATTGCGGTATCTCTGTGATGTCCGTTTGCAGTTTGTGTTTGCTTTTAAATGTTAAATTTATTGTTGAAAATATTCTGTTATTAATATTATTTTCAATAATATTTTACAGGCGACCCGAGGGTCGTTTTAGTGACTCGACAAATACTCTTTCGGCCTCCGTGGTGAATCACTATGCGGGCTTCCATCGCAGGCCCATTAATAGGGTGTGTATTATTCGAAACACTCATTATCGATAAGATTGACCGCTAACTGAATCATATTCCGTTTCCATATTCCCGTAGACATCCAATCTGCTATCCGCCTCGCTGTGTTTGGTGAAAGAGCTGGACTACGCCAGTCTCGAGGTGCTGGAGCACGCTGTGCGGTGTCGCATCGATGAGTTGGCGGGCGAATGATGAAGACGGCTCTCTAATCGCATGTCGATTAGCTAATATCCACACTAAGCGAAAGCAAAAAAAGACCAGGAGAAAGACGGAAGCGGGGAGTGAGGCGCAAACTGCAGCTGATATTATTATACTAACGTCTTAAGCATCAAATGGAAAAGCAGATACTTACCGAATAACGAAAACGATTCATACTTGCCAATTTGTAAACTGTCATAGTGTAACTAGCGTCTTTTTGTAAGCATTTTGTCACTTAATGAACCATGCTGACGGCTTCAGAAGAGCGTGGGAAGAACGAATAATAGACTATAGCCTAAAGTCTAAGTTGATTTCCGCCTAATTGAACCCAGATCCCGTTCAGTTGTGCACAGACCACTACAAACTAGCCTTCTTTTGTACTTAACTTGCGAGGATCGAACTAACTAACGAACTAACGGCGCCCAAGGCGCCAGGCACAATGAATCTTCCTTGTCTGTTTTTTGTTTGAAGTGAGCTTAGTTCAAATTGATATATGATTATATATTAAAATTGAAGCTAGGATTTGCACAGTGCTGCTAAACTTCAATTTTAATATATAGTATACTTTATATTTAACCCAAGGACTTTGTTAAATATTTGTACACAAGCTAAAACTTAATTTTAATATAAATTTACCTATGTATAATGCAATGAACACGTCCAGTTTATGTTTGCCGTTCTCTATTTAACGATTACGTTGGAAACTACTATGCAAAAAATAAACCAATTAACATTATATACGAGTTTGATTTGGGTTTTTAATGAAATTTGTTATTTGATATGACTGAAATTCGAATTTCGCGGGTCTTGACGCTGTTCAACACTAGTGAGTTATCGAAACTGTAAATAAAGCAGTGCACTCGGAAGCAAGCAGTGCAGACGGTTACATTTTTAAACAAATTTAAACTTTTATAGAAATAAATAAATAAAATAAAGAATATTTAGAAGCTAATACATTAAATAATAAAAATACCATAAAGACTAAATGTTATTTCTATAGATTTTTATATTTATCAAGGAAAAATCATAAAACTTTCAAGCTCTAAAATATTAATATTTAAAAATGGATTAAATAGATTTTCACACCTCATTTCATCAATTTAATAGTATTAAGTTGTTCATATTTTAATGTAAATGATAGTTCCAGTGATTCATATCCGAATATTTGCCCTTTTATTCGATTTATTGAAACCCTTTCGTTGCAGGTTGATCTTCCTAAAAAACTTTAATTTATAGTTATAAATATCTTTCCCATTTCTATCTTATTTCCCCCACTTTAATTTTATCCCATAATAAAACAAGTACTTTTTCAGAGGGGCTTTTACACAACATTAACGTATAATAGATATATTTGCCTTTAGTTTTGCTTGGTTGTTTAGTTTGCTTTTTATTTTGTTCGATTACATTGTGTGCAATTGCCTTTAAATCTATTTTATTTTGTGTTTATTTTTATTTTTTTGTGAACTAAAATCGACTTTTCGAAACGGTATCATCGGTTGGTTTTACACTCTGATAATAATTCGTAATTGATGATGATGTGTCTGTTGGTTATTTTGATATTATTCCAGCATAATTCGGTTAGTTAGCCGCTGTATTCATGGCAGAAACGCAACGCCTAACACATATACATATACATAAATGTAAAGTGCATTATTATGTTTAGTTAGTGTGATTAACTTGCTACACATCGATTACATACTGAAGCCGCATTAGGTTATCAATGAATGTGCTCTGAAAATTGCCTTAAACATTGCGATATTGTCTAATATAACGTTGGTGCAATACATATATTAATATATATTTTATATATTATATATTGTTGATAAGTGCGCGGTTAATAATATTAATACATATTAGTACTGATATATAGACACTGAGTATGCGAACTTCCTTGCCTGCTGTTCTCCTCCTTAGTTTTGTTAATTATTGTCAGTCACAGCGTGACTTCGTAGATCTTCGGGTTCGAATTCGAAAATGCTATTATTATTATTATAATTACTATTATTATTTCACTTATAGCTAGATGATTTTTAGCCGATGACCAGGCCGTGCTGAAGAAACGCATGTCTTCCAGAATGCGTTAGCGATGTTGCTGCTGTTTTGCTTGAAAAGTCTTCCATAAATTTTCAATGCAATGCGAAAAAATGTCTTCCTCATAAATAATTGTTATATTGAATTATTTACTGCTGAACAATATGACACCTAGATATTAAGATAACTTTAGTTACGATTTAGTGGTAAACGGTAGACCTGGTAGATATCCATGTCTCCCGTTTTCTGAGTTTCTGATTTGCAATCGCAACTCATCTGTGTGGATATATAGACCAATTAGATATTACATTTATATTGTATATTATCTTTTGTTTTTTTTTTTTGTTTTTATATTTTGTTAATATTTATATTATATGGTTTAAGGGCCGTAACCAACACTAAACTCTTGGTTGGCTCGTGGCCTAATTGCGACACTCGTAATTGATGCTGATTTAAATATCTCAACGCTTTTGATTCGCCAATAACTTGTAAGCCAAAACAAAGGAAATTCTTTGGATACCAACTTCTTCTTCTGCTGCCTCGTCGTGGTAAATTGATATGCTGATTCCATCGAACCAAGGGATATAATCCAAAATCAGGGTGTGAGTGGTTTTGTGTGGCTGTGTGGGTGCCACGATATGTTGTGTACTTTGATATTGAATTGGTTGTTGATTTTCCTCATCCTTCGTGTGTCTCCTTAGTCAAAAAACTCCTCGACTAATCAATCACTTAATTACGGGTTGTGTCCTCTTGGGAATTGAAGGATCCGAAGATCCTCGTCCCCCCAAGGGAGCACTGGAAGCCCTGGGTGATTCTGTTGTTTGCAGAGGGGTCGCCCCCTCCTCTTACTCTATAGCTTTCTATAGTTACTTTTTTTAAATTGAAATTAGTTACAAATTAATTGATTCGCATAGGGATTTTTTTGCATCTCCTCATCGTCCTCGTATATTCTTCTCTTTTTGCATTTTTTCTTTTGCTTTTCCTATAGTTTTTCTTGTTCTTTTTTATACAAAGATATTGGAACTAAACTCTCGCAACAAGATTTTGAATATAGATAATAATGGAATATGTAAAGACAACACTAGCACTAACTCAAGTCCAAAAACGAAGAACAACAAAACGTCATATAATTCTCGAACTATATATAATCGGTTTGTGATTTAGCGCCTCCATCCGGAGGATCCATCGAAGATATCCCCTCGCGAGGACCTGGGATCCTTAGGTAAAGAACGGCGATAAATCACAGTTGCACAAAGACCCGCCATCGCCAGTCTTGCAGAGCACCTTGCACACTTCGTTCCAGTCCGGAGCCGCAGTCGTGGCATCCGTCTCCGCTGCTGCTACTATCGGTGCAGCGGTGGCCACTTGGACCGCCTCCCCGAGCATCGGCATCGGCATTGGCCTTTCGGATCCGGAACCGTATGTAGTCTTGCCCTGCACTCCACTGGCCATCATCTCCTCTCTCCAAACATCTTCCTCCTGCTTTCTCTGCACCTCCTGCTGGCAGGGACTGCAGCCGGGCAGGGAGCGACTTCGTTGCTGGCAGAAGCTCGAGCAGATCTTGTCGCCCCATTCGGCTGGAAAAATATAATGCAAACGGTTATTTAAAAAAGGAAATTACTAAATATTTATTAATAAAATGGGATAATTTGTAGAGCGTTTCTGCAATTAATTTCAATAATAATTTAAAAAGATAAGTATAACTTTCGTGATCAAGGATTATACCATTTTTAACAGCTTTAACAGCTTAACTTCTCGTGATTGCAAATCACTTAGAAATAAACAATAAACGCTCAAGAATCTTCTGTATTAAATTCTTCTAATGCATTTGATAAAATAAAATACAATAGTAAATTAAAAACAAATTTCCTACTAATGTCTAATTAAATTAAAAATAATAATCGTTTTTATTGAATACAATATATAATTTATTCTTTAATTCTTTAATTTTGTTTTTCCTTTATAAGTTAGAAACTGATTTTCTTTTTTTAAAAAGGAAAAAAAATATGTTGATCTTATTGAATTAATAATTTAAAGGTTTTAATTTTAAATATAAATATATTAAGAAATAAATATTTAAAAATGTACAGATTTTGATCTTGTTTTTGAATCACATTATGGGGAATCAGTTTAAGAGCTCTTTTCATTATTCATTATTTTATTGTATTATTATTATTTTTTTTTTGGTTCTTACCTCTAGGCAGTCCACACAGTTGCCGGCACTTGGCCACATCGAGCTCCGGTCTCAGGATCGCGTGCTTGGCCCCACCAGGCGTTGAGGCAACGCCCAGGCCAGCTCTGCAAGGATCAAAAATGAATAATTAACCATTTAAACAATACTAAGAATAAAATTAAATATAGGAATTAAGTTATAATATGGGAAACCTTTCATTAGATAAAAACCCAATCAAATCTCTAAAATATATTTTTTAAAACAGTTTAAAAGTAAATAAAAACAATAAAAGATCATTTGATCTACGATTCTTTAAATTATAATTAATATTTTGAAAGTAAGATATAAATATTTAAACTTTTTAGCCTTTCTTCATATATTAAATAAATGAAGTAGAATCCTCCTTTTCCTATTTTAGAAATTATTCAAATTAAGCCCAAATATTTCCCAATCAACCTGATAAGTTAACATTTTTGGCACTTGAAAAAAACACAGAACACGCGTCGCGGAATCCACAAAAAACAGAGATATAGCCAGATATAGTTTGTTTGACATTTGCGATTAGCAAACACTTGAAAGGCCGCCGCATTCCGCAATCCGTTGATTTCTCATGGCCAGTCACTCACTTTCGCTTTCAGTTGGCCATAATCATCATTAGTTCCCGCTTTTTTGGGGAAAACCTTCGCGGCACACACACTTTCGGGGCACAAAGCCACCTCACTCGAATGTCAACTCCACTCTATATTATATTTGTAAGAGTTCTGGATGCCAGTTTATCCGAAACTTACCCGCAGAGCTCTTTACACAGCAAACTCCAATCCTGAACTGCGCTGTTGGGTTCTGGGACTTCAAGGATTTTGGCTGCGAACGCAGCATCCCCCACGGCATCGTCCTTCGGCAGCGCCGCCAATGACGTCACGGCCGGCGCAGACGCAGCAAGGATTAAGGCAATAACCAATGGCAGGACGAGTAGCCAAGGCTTTCCCCGTCGCTTTTCCACACGCTTTCCCATCGCTGGGGCTAGAAGGAGACGGGAAGATTACAAATTGGTTGGGGATTGGGATGTGGAAGGAGGCGGTGTCCCTGCGGGTATGAGGTTAAAATGGAGGCTCACTCGGCCTCACTTACAATAGGAGCAATTGTGCTCAAAATGCAATTATCGCGCGCTCAGGAATAGGCAGCAAAAAGCAGACTTCCACTAGCTCATGCCAGAGGTGCATCCACCTCCTACCCTTCATTGTTATCCCAAGCATTTGCTATCCGAATTTCATGCGCTTGATTTGCCAAACTCAAAAGGGGTTATGCAATCGCTGCCGTCTCTCCGGAGATGTTCCAGGAATCCTGCCGACGGTTTTCCCAGCGATTTTCCGCACAAAAATACCAACGAGAAATACCTGAGTTAACCAACCTGCTGCTGCCGCTGCTGGAACTTTATTTTGTCAGGATAATGACAGTCGCCTAAGCAGACACAATCTCCAAAATCCCCAGCACCCCCGCCAACTCCCTGGTTGGGCCAGAAAAGAATGTTTATAGCCCCCGGGGCGAGCCGAACATGGTGTTCCGGAGTACCAGGACCTCTGGGCCACAGTTGAGAGTCGAGTGCGAAAGAGGACGCTTCGCTGGGCCCCTGGCCAACACACAAACTTCCCGATTGAATTAACTAGCCGGCAAAGCCCACTCCCAGCCGCGGGTGGTGGCACAAGTGTCCAAAGATTTTCGCCTATCTGGGCTACAGGGCCTATTTGCGCTACGTGCAATCACAGCCAGGTGAGAGTCGTATTTTTTCGCTCAAGGGTTCGCTTCATTGTCCGTTTCTGTTTGCTTTTTATACTCTTTTGAAAGGATATTGTTGCTTATCGCAGAGTTTGCGGTAGAACGAATTTTGTAGTATGTTTTCTTAGGCTTTGAAGGTCTGAGGTTATGGTTTTTATGAAGATAAATATGATTTTAAGTTTGATTTTTAACTGTAAAGCCTTATTAGAATACTTAAATATTAAAATGCTGAATAAATTTATTTATTCTACTTTAATTAAAGCCTCCTAATGAGCAAATTTTCCTTTCTCTTATTAGTTCATTTCGAGTTCATTTATAAATTTTAAAAATTAAATATTGCAAAGAGTAAACCAGATTCGTATTTGCAATTATCTTATCACCTTTATCCTTGTTTATTTTTTAATGGTTCAGCGACAATGACAATTTCCGACAAAAAATATGCTGGGTCAATTGACAAACAAGATTTAAAGCCGTGCTTAAACACACAAAAAAAATATTCTTTTACTTCAATTAAGCCTTTCGAATGTCTATATTTATCGGCCTGATTAAAATTAAATTTAAATGGTTGAATGTAAATGATATTAATTTAAAAAATATATATATTAACAACTCTTTTTAAAGCCTAACTCTTTCCTTCAACAAATTTTTTCTCAATAATATAATTTAAATATTTTGATTAATGTGAATATTATATTAAACTATATTTTTAATGCACAAAAGCTCTTTATAAATATATTCAAGGTTCAGTGCACATTTTTTTCATACATTGTTACTGTATTTACTGTGACTTTTTTATGTGAAATACTCTTATATCCGCTTATGCAAGCACTTCCGTTTTGGTGCCATTTGGCACAAATAATATTTATGTTTTTTGTCGATTAAATGAATGTTGGACTTCATATTAAATATCCCACCAAATGGCACCATTTATTTAATATCTTTGTTGATATTTAAGGGTATTTTTGTGGCTCCTCCTGTTCTCTCAACCCAAATCCCTATAATTCCTTTGTTAGCCTTGTCCATGTCGGCTCTTGTTGCCATTTCCACTGCCAACTTACTTTGCTTTTCAAAAGTTTGACTCAATTAAATCCAATTGTCCGCTCCACCTGCTTCTCTTAAATTGCTGAAACTTTTTTGCGCTGACTGGAATTTATATAGAAAGCTGTAACCGATCCGAATGCTGGCAGTTGGTCAACTGAGAAGGGAAACCGCCGCTGCCGCGAAATTCCCACTTGCTAATAATAAGTGCCTTTGATGGCTTTATCTGCACCGGTGTCACTGATTCAAATGCGAATCAATGGATTTCCATAGCCATATGCCCTAGTACCCGGGTTTTTGGTCTGGGCCAGGCCAAATCGGAGATAACTTTGGCCGGAGTGGCTAATTATTATTGAAGTGGCCGGCGATAAGTCCCCGACTTTATTTCGCCATATATACATATGTATATGTTTGCACTGATATATCAGGGGAATATTTGAGTGACACCTGTGATGGATGGGCTAAGTCAGGGGCTAACAGGTAGGATCTCTGGCGAGTAGGGCGTGTGTGCAAACTGATATCAAGTATACGCCATGTTTGATCACGTGATTTTAAGCTAGCTGAGAGTTAAGTAAAGGCTTTAAGAATATCGAAAATAATAACGATTTTAAAGGAAATTATATTTAAATATATGTAAGATTTCTATTAATAAATATTATTTTTTAGAATTAATTAGAGGCGAACTTTCTAAAGGAACTTAGAAAGTTTATAGGAAAAATAAATTTTATATCATAATTAAATGGTAAAATAATAAATTAATAAATAATTTAGCAAGTCTTAATTTAAATTAAATAAAATATATTAAATTAACATATAATTTTCTTATTGAAGTTTGAACAATTATAGCCTTAAAAAATAGCTATAAATTTGTTTAAGAATCTCTTAAGGTATTAAAAAAATTCCACGCTAGTCTTAAATTTAATAAAATCCCAAACATTCTTTTCTTAATAAAACCCATCATGCCAAAGTGGGAATTAAATGATAAATTAAAGAGTGATGATGATAAGGGACCCTAGCAGCAGTTATTTCTCGAGTAATGGCCGCCTCCTCGGTAAGCTGCAGTCGTCATTTACATGGAAAGACACTTGCCAAATGGCAAAAGGAAACCTTCGCATCGATGATGTTGCTGACGCAGCAGGTCCTGCCGAACAAGGACCAAGACCAAGCAAAGTGCCCAGCAGCTCCAGCAGCTCCGGCAGCTGCCTGCTGTCAGATAAGAGAGTGTGGGAGAAAACTCAGTGGAAAATGAATGTTTTACAGCGCTCGTTGTTCTCAAGTCCCTCCAGTTTGATGGACGTCATTCCCCCCTCCCCCACACCCAGCTCCTTGCTGCGATTACATAACCTTCCTCTAGGTCCGTATGTACATAACGTATACGTATGTGACTCGAAAGTATGCTATGAAAAGCGTTCTCACGGAAGTAATGCAATTTCCCTGCCATGCGGATAGATACATATCTCTTTTTTAACTTGGCGCGAGAACCTAGCTTTGACCTAAATTTCTATATACAAATGTTCTATATATGAATGCCATATATGTCTTAGGTTCTATATATTATAAGGTCTATATATTATATATAGGAGGCACACGTGCTACTATGCTTACTAGGAAATGGCGGCAATTATGTCCGGTTTTTCGCTGGCATTCGGAAGGAAACTCTCATAAAAAGTTGTGGGTCATTGTAAATGTCAGAAACAGTAGCGGAATTAGTTTGTTAATTAGCTTTTCATTTTGTCGCCCCCACAAGAGCCCTTCTATACCCAAGTGTTTTTCTTATTATTTTTGCAGCTTAGTTTCCTCAGGCGTGCGCACATTTTTTTTGTGTATCTGTTGGGGGCAAGTTGTGGGGAAATGGCAGCCCGCCCCCACTGTTGAAGCTCCGCCCACGCAAAATGGCTCAACAAAGATGGTTGCCCAAAAATCAATGACGTCATGGCTGCTGAAGGTTACGCAAGAGATGGAGGAGGAGCAGGAGCAGGAATATATATATATGTGTCTGTTCGGGTGGGCAGCCATTTTGTGGGGCTGAAAAAGCTTCGTAGGATGCCCAGTTGGATGCTGCTGCTCATAGCTCCGCAGATCGTCAGCGAGTGTAGGCTGCTCTCAGTTCCCTAATTTTTCCAGTCAGTAAAAACCTGAAAAAAAACACATAAATCTTGAAAAGAACATAAATATTCAGTAATATTCAGATATCCTTTAAGTTAAATCAATTAAAATCCAGTGAGTTGTAGGCTCCGTCCGCGCGAGTGTTGAAATATTAATCGAGAAGTGCTTTGTTTTGCTTGAAAGGAACTCTGTAAGTTGTCGCTAATTTAGACCTCAAGTAGTACCAGCATTTGTCGCAGCTCCATTCTATATATACTATCTATTATATAGAGCTATACATTTCGCATTTCGTCCTCGCACATCCCTCTAGTTATTTTTCTGAGACAAGCGTCGGTGCCTGGTCGCCCACGAACACACAGTCAAAGTGAATTATCTCAAGCAGTACATCGACGATATCCGCCGGATAATCGGTAAGACCCAAAGGTTATTTGTCTGATTTTCTGTCGCCTTTCGGTTGCATAAGTCCCTTCGCACTGTCCAAGGTTTTTCCGCCATCAAGTGCAGCTGTCTGTCGAGCTGTCTGTATCCAATATCCTGTATCCCCACAGTCCCCATGCAAATTTGTGTGTATGTATGTATATATTTACAGTTGGAGGAAATTGGCTTAGCACTCACTACTGCGCAATAGCAGATGGCGCCAAAAACAAGGCATGGGAGGAGGGGTTCTTGAAAATCAGTGTATATACCCCTAGATGGGGTGGCCAAGCTTGCCCTTCAGTTGTCCTTGTCCAGAGCACATAGCCCCCGCCAAGACCTCGCTTTGCGTTCTCATACCATTTCGCCATTTTCCACTTTCCACTTTGTTTATTTACACGCCCATTGCATTTTCACACTCTGCGCGGATTTGTTTTTGTCGACGTTATGCAATTTCCCTCTATGTACACAAGGATATAGATAAGAAAAAGGAGGAGGAGGAAAAGGAGAAGGACTGCAGGCCTTATGTAACACCTGCTTCAGGGTCTTCAGGTTTAGGTCGATTGCATAACATTGACTCACTTCATTTGGCCTAGCTCCATTTGCTACACCACTAAGTGGTGTCTGCACTTCTGGGATTCCCCTCACTAATAAATACATATTTTTCTGTGTTTTATTGTCCTTGCAGAGGAGAAAATGTCGCTCAATCCGAACGGGTATAAGCTGTCCGAGAGGACGGGCAAGCTGACGGCATATGGTGAGTATATATATTAAGACAATTAATACAAGGACAATTATTGATATTCAACGAAAATGATATTAAATAAATATATAATATATACACTCAAAAAATCTTTTAAATTATTTAATAAACATTTTGTAATGAATAACTTTGATTTTAAATGCATTGACATTAAATTAATATTTATTAGTTCTTCTAAAAACCAATTAAGTAATGTATAACCCAATTAATTTATCTTCATTATACATACAAATAAATACAAAAAATAAAATACATTATTTAGTTCGTTTATTGGACAAAATATCTTTTACCTTTAAGATACAAAGTTTTTTATTTCTTTGCATATAAAGTTTGTTATTTTAAACTTCTAACTGATTGGTTACTATTATCTTAAATATCTCGAAATAAAAATATAAACTAAATACTACAAAAATGTCATGTTTTCTTTACTATATTTAATTGTTTTTATACCCTTCAGGATATCAGAATTTTAGTTAAAAGCTAGTAACGCAGGGAAAATGAGTCATTTCCGACCATGATCAAAAATATATGATTTAATACTTAATACTTTTCAAGGATATAACGTGTAAATTATTTATAAATGAAACCCTTTTATGCACTTTAACAAATTTAAAAACAATTTAAAGCAGATTTCCAGCACAGTAATTCATTTACAATGATAAATGGCGATACAGAAATCACAGAAAACATATTGTTAGGTCTATGCAATTTATTTCCCACACTAATTCCCTCCATTCAACCAGATTCTCCCACACGATAAGTGTGTTTTAGCAATATATTTCCTTGGGGGCATTACTCCGCCTTGGTAGTAGCCCTGGCAAACATTTTCCCTTCGCATAGCTGCACTCGAATCGCATTTGGCTGGGCAAATACTCGTAATAAACGAGTGTTAAACTGACACTGTCAGGGACACTGGCTCGGAAAATGGCAAACAGTGGAGTCTGCCAAGGACGTGGACAAGCATTGGGCTGTCCAGGACACTCGTGTCCTTGATAAATGGCCCTGCAACGAAAGCTCTAACTCGAATGTGTATGAGTGTGTACTATATATATGTTTGGCTCCGTTGAAGCGTGAAACTGGCGACTGTTGCCTGTAACAGATTTTCCTCGAGTTTCCCCAAACACGAAACAAACAGAGAGACAAACAGAAACAGAAGGAGTCCGGGTCCGGGTGCAGAAGTCAAACAAATCCACCACCAAGAAGACCAGGAGAGCCAGACGCGTGCCTCAAATTGAAAGGCCAACAAACATAAACCGTTTAGTCACAGGATATTGCTCACGCTCGAGTCCAGGATTTCTGTGTGTGCTTATGTGTGTGTGTGCCGGCTGTGCTTAATGCTCCTGCAGAATACGGGGTGGTCTTGAGCACCCACCCAGCCAAGCACATTAAATTTTATTTAACTTTTTGGCCGTTAACTCGAGGAATTTTCAAATTGCTACAATTTGTCTGCTGCCGCCGTCTCCTGGAAAATGTTAATCATGCGCAACGTTGGGTTTCCAATTGATTTCCAGCCAGCTCCGAGCTTGGAGCTTATGCTGCTGCTCCCATTTGCTCGGTGGCTTAGTGGCCACCGAATATGCTTAGAGGCAAAGCCCCAGTAATTAATTGCAGCCACCGCAGAAGAACAATGGCTGGGACAAGGACAAGCCAGCAGATGGGAGTCGCGCGCGCGAAATCTGTGCTGAACTGAGAGAAAATCTGGGGGATTGCAATTAGCCATTAAAGGGCCAAGTGTGACTCCTACGAATTTTCAATTAAAATCACAACTTAATGGCTTGATTATAATAGCTTTTTTCGAAATTAATTGCATAAGTTTTTTAATAGCGTAAAGAGAAATAAAGGTTTCAAAGAATTTAACTTTAACTAATTATTGAACTTTCTATACAGCTATGACTATGAAATTATGGTAATTATTTTTAATATCGTTTAAGAAAATGTTTAACTTTGAAATTTTTATTTTTTTTTATTTGTAAATCTAACAAATGCTAAGAAAAGTGAGACAAGAAGCCTTAAAATTCACTGAAAATATGTATTTAAAAATTTATAAACGTTTTTTGTTTTTAATACAGTATTCCTTATGCTTGCTTTATTGATTTTAGTTTTCCCCCAGTGCATCCACATAAAAAGCACAAAATGATAGTTGAAATCTCAGCCTGCCCCTGAGGATTTTTAGCTTACCTTGACAAGGAAATCTCTTTATTTTACGACATAAAACTTCCCACAAATCATGGGCAGTAATAATAGCCATATATCATGATAAAATATAGAGGAAAAACCATTTTTCCTGTCAGCAATGAGGCCACGCTTTTCATATTTACCGATAAGAAGTTCTCATTTGGTTTTTTTCGCACCCTCTTTTTTTTGTGTGCGTTTTTTCGTATCAGATCTCATGCCTACCACAGTGACCGCTGGTCCGGAGACGCGGGAATTCTTGCTGAAGGTCATCGATGTCCTGCTGGATTTCGTGAAGGCCACAAATGACCGAAATGAGAAGGTATTGGACTTTCATCATCCCGAGGACATGAAGCGACTTCTGGATTTGGATGTCCCAGATCGAGCTTTGCCTTTGCAGCAGCTAATCGAGGATTGTGCCACCACACTGAAGTATCAAGTGAAGACGGGTGAGTCCTTCTACAAATTATAGAATATATTTTTAAATTATAAATAAAAAATGCAAAGCCCAGAAAATTTTAGAAAAGTTACTAACCCGAAGGCAAGCACAAGACTAAGAAATAGATTCAAAAAATGAATCTATAAACTGAAAGTAATAATAAATACTAGAAAACATAGATCTTCAATTTTTTTCTCGAAGAATTATTAAATTAAATTAGTTCCTCCCTACATAATCCCTTGTACTTATGGTAATATGTAAAGTCTGCATTATCCTGATTTCCCTGCTCTCCTGATGAATATTCAAAAGGTGATCTAAGTAAGACTTACCTCCTTGACTTGCCACCTTATCAACTCACTCTGATGTTTGCTCAGTTGCAGATTAATCAAATTTGTCCCTGCTTAGCATATGCTTTTCGTCTGCGGCATATTTTTTTATGGAGGAAATTACCAGGACGCGTGTCCCTGGACCTTGCGGTCGCATTAGAACACAAAGTGTGCAGCCTCCGAGATAAGCACATTAGCATATTGATGGCACTCGGGAGATAGCCATAGACAGCAGACAAAGCCATTTTATGGCCCATTGAGCCGTGGTCCCCGCTTGTTTACACCTTTCAAAAACACTCGCCGCAGGGATGAAATCCTCCGCGATTCCCTCAATCATCGCCCTTTCAAGCTGCAGGCCATCAATCATAAATCAGGCAAAAGGGTTCGCTTTTGTGTGTGGCAGCGGCGGCTTTAGCAGCCAAAAGTCATTCGCACGTTTCACTTTTAACTTTTTTATACCCACTAGTTGGTAATAAAATAAAGGGGATATATTTGAACAGATTGCAGAGATTGGAGAATTTTATAGAGGTGGATTTTTGATATACAATGAGGATTTTGGGATCAATAAATATAATATATAAAAATAAAAATATATGCATTTTCTCCGAGAACTTTTTAAGAAAATCGAAGCTTTATTAAGTGAAAATTAATAAAATGTTGATAAGAATAAATATAAGATTTAATTTCTATGAAAGAATTTGTAAGTTTACTCAGCTTTAAAACTGAAATATTATTACTAATCCTTCTTTTTTAATTATTATTTAATTATTATAACCAGCTAACAGAAAAAAGATTTTAAAATTCCAATAGAATTATCTTACTTTCAAAAAATACATTTAAAATATATTTAAACTTAAACCAATTCCATTTCCAAGGTATCTTTAAGCTCGTAACATTCCTTACTCTTCGTTTCTACTTGTTTTGAATGTCCTTGCTGATTTGATTTCATTGAAAATTAATGCGAGAGGAGGTCTGCTTCCAGTCTTTGTCCTCTGCTGTTTGTGCAGTCCTTGCACGTGACCACAATTGTGTTTGGAGTATCGATAATAAGCGTATTTACTAGACCAACCCCACACCATATACACGCCATCCCTGAAGAGCCACCCCTTCCCTATCCGGAAACTGTGGCCTTGTCTCGGAAGCAGGCGTTGCTTCCTCGATTTGCTGGGCAGGAAATGAGAGACTGGTTTCTGCTCCTGTTTACGAGGATATATACGAGGATGTGTGGCTGAAAATTGAATTAAAACTCTACGCAATCAGGGAAGCAACTGAATAAACCTAGATTGTATGGGAAACTTCTGGGAAAGAATTCAGTTTCAATCAGGAAAGGAATAAGTGAGTTTGATTCTGGTTTCTGTTGGTGTTTATTCAAGGGAATACTTTGAAAGGAAAACTTATTATCAATTAGGAAACTATCTTTTTTAGGAAAGAACATGGGTTTCATAAGTTTCTGTATTGTAAAGAAATGATGAAACTATTTAGTTTATCTTAAATAAAATGTTCTAAATAAATGCAGACTTCTTAGGTTATTTATTTCCAACAAACTATTCTTTTGTAATTAACTTCAAAGTATTATTCAACAATAGAAAGCTCTACAAAATCCAGTTTAAGCCTGCAATTAACACAGAGTACTCATAATTAAGCCCGCTTTCCTCTGTATTTGACAAGATTTCTCAAACTTTCTTGGAGATATCAAGAAAAAATAAACGCTCCTTTTCCTGTCCTTGAGATAACAGCCAGGGCTCTTCCTTTTCCGAGCTTGCCATTCCACCAGACGCGATAAGAGTCCCATTTATGATCCGTAATCTCACATAATGCTCGCCCTGTCTGACGGGCAACCTGATACGACGGATACAACCGAAGGACCTCCTCCTCTGAGGACTCCATAAAAACGAGGGGAGCTTTAATCAAAATCCGTTGTTATTTTCTGACTCGCTGCATTCCTGATCCTTTGATGCGAATGAATGGGTGCCGGGCGAGGGTGACTCGACTCGATACGAGGCGAGTCGTCCTTCGGATGGGAATATCCTGGCCACATGCGCAAATTGAAATGTTTGAATGCCGACGCTGTGTCAGTTGGTGCACAGAGGAAAAATATATATCAGAAAAGTTGAAGAAGATGTCAAGGGATAATAAATAATAAACAACAAAACACAATGCAATACCGGAAAAGTCTTAAGATTAATACGCTTTTAGATTATAGATTATGAATTCAATCTTCAAAGATCCAATACTTTTTTCTCACTGCATTTTCCCCCGTGTATGTGGGGATTTAGCCTTGTGGGCAATGGGATTTTAATCACACGACTTATGGCACTCAAGATGTGAACTGACAGACGCCGAAGGGTTCAAGCTCGACTGAAACGGGGAAATGGGAGTTGGACAGCTTCCTGATGCTGACTGAAAGCATTTTGTGATTCTCCGTGGGAGTTTTCCCGCACTCTCCACACAGAAAGACAGACTGCACCCTCCCAAATCGATGCTCGGCAAGTCGCAATTAGCTACAATAAATGAGCAATTTATGGAGCTCAGCAGGGCACGGGGGGCTCAAGGATTACCAGGAAAGACTTGTTGAGCAAGGAAGAAAATCATAGGAATCAGGGCATACTATCCCCCCAACCCATCGATTGGCCAGGACCTTGTCTCGTCTGCCCTTGAACATATGCACTTCCGGAGGCCTTTCCTCGTTCGCCGTCTGTGTACTGCGTATTTTTCCTGTTTCCTTTCGAGGCCAGCCAGCCGTGCTTTGGGTTCAGCCTTTGTCTCTGCCCTCGAATATATATATACTTTTTTAATAAAACAAAAACGCTGGCAAAGAGCCGCTGAGGTGGGATGAAGGCTGATGGCTGCCAGGCACATCTGCTGTCGGCTTAGAGACGACACCCGGAGAACCAAAAGCCGAGGAGAGACAGACATCCAGACAGCCGTGGCTAAACGGAAAGCATTTTCAGCTACATTAACCGAAAAAGCATAAACATATAGCGAATGTGAGATATATTAGTTTCGAATCAGGGATATTAATTAGAGAGGGAAAATTAAGTGGTGAAAATGAGTTTTAAACCTGGTCTATAGCATATCCCCTTTCTATATATATTTTCCAGGACATCCTCACTTCTTCAACCAGCTGTCCAATGGCTTGGACCTGATCTCTATGGCCGGCGAGTGGCTAACGGCCACGGCCAATACCAACATGTTCACCTACGAGATCGCTCCCGTGTTCATCCTCATGGAGAATGTGGTGCTGACGAAGATGCGTGAGATTATCGGCTGGTCGGGTGGCGACTCCATCCTGGCCCCTGGTGGCTCCATCTCTAACCTGTACGCCTTTCTGGCTGCTCGTCACAAGATGTTCCCCAACTACAAGGAGCACGGCTCTGTGGGTCTGCCTGGCACCTTGGTAATGTTCACGTCGGATCAGTGCCATTATTCGATCAAGTCCTGTGCTGCTGTGTGCGGTCTGGGTACTGATCACTGCATCGTGGTGCCCTCCGATGAGCACGGCAAAATGATCACTTCGGAGCTGGAGCGTCTGATTCTGGAGCGCAAGGCCAAGGGTGATATTCCCTTCTTTGTGAATGCCACTGCCGGCACCACTGTCCTGGGAGCCTTTGATGATATCAACACGATTGCCGATATCTGTCAGAAGTACAACTGCTGGATGCACATCGATGTGAGTGGGATTTTGTTTGGGATTTTATTTAAAAAATTTTTATAGTTTTTTTCTACTAAGAAATTATTCTGAAAACTAGAAAAAGATCTAATTAAAATATGATATATATTTTTTTTATATATTTCAGGCTGCCTGGGGCGGTGGCTTGATGATGTCGCGTAAGCATCGTCATCCCAGATTTACTGGTGTTGAGCGGTAAGTAATTGTATTTGTATTTAAATTTAACGAAATTAAATGCCTAGTAAATAACAAGAGCATGCATAATGTTCACCAATCTGTAAAGATTTTGTAACTTTCTTAAACAATTGTATCAAGTTATAAGCCTTTCCATTTAAATTCTAAAAATTTCCAACTCATTCACTGCTAAAATCCTATTTCCTATTTCTAAAGCTTGGTTTTTAAAAGTTTTAGAAACCCTCAAGCATTCTTAGTAAGTTGTCAATTCATGACAGATCCGCTCTGAGTTCCCTTACAAAAGTCGTCGTCTCTATTGTCCCAAGCAATTGTTTTTCTCATTCATCATCCTTCTTGGCTTGAACTTTTTGCCCTCATCTTTTGGGCAAGTCAAAACACAAATTGAAATCTCTCTTTCCCTCTCTGTTTTTCCCTACTGGGCTGGGTAAATTTAAATCTAAATGCTCCCAAATGGCCCGCATCGCTCAAATCTCAACCCCAAGTTGAGTTGAACATGTGGGAAAAATCTCAATTTGTCATTTAGTGCCTCCATCAGGTGTTCAGAGCTTACAGGGATTACAAGGCACAAGCCGAGTGCATTTTGGCCCGAACAAACAAATGAACAAAGTGGATTTCCAGTGTCGAGTCGAGTCGACCTTCCCTCAATCCAAATACATACATATAGAGCAGCTCGGGAGGGGTGCTTTTGGGTGGGCATTACTTACACAACAATTACGCCAAACAAAAAGAGGCAGGGATGGAGTGGGACAAGGATTCATCCCCGCCGACTGAGGAATTTTTAATTTTAAAGTCGCAACCTGAAATGCACTTTACCCCGACTCCATTCCTGAATCCATTTGGATTCCTTCAACACTCGTAATTCTCCTTGGAATCCTTGGGAGCTTAGGCAAATGCGAAAGTGCAGCTGTCGTCGTATTGACAGCTTGCGGTCAAGCAGCAGACTCCATAAACGCTTTCGAATTGATTGCCTTTCGGTGGAGAACTCCTCCTTCTACTCCTCCTCCTGTTACCGCATCCATCCATCACCCGGACGCGTTCGGCTTCAATTAGTTTGAATGGCTCCTAAGGCCTGGAATTGCTGTGGCATGCAAATTGAGGTCCTTAATTGAAAGGCTCTCAGTGCGAATTAATCATTAAAATGCCCATGCAGCTGACACTTTGCGGCCTTCGCCAGCTTACACGGCTCTGATTAATGGTTACTTGAAGGAAGTGAAGGTTATTGAGGAGATTTTGAGGCCTTTAAATCCGCTGAGTTTCGTTTTGGCTAAAACCTTAAAACAATTGAACGAAAATCGAGTCTTAAAAGCTTGGCCTAACATGCCGACGCTCAATCAAATTCTTGTTAGTTGAGACTGATATATGGACTGTGAGATACCCTGCTTTAGGGACAAGGAAATTTCTTTCCAATTGTGACAGCTTTGTACATAGGAAAATGTTTTTTCTAAGGCGAAACTGCTTAGGATATAGAGTTTATAAAATATATATATGCCATACTATATATATCCTTATATTTCCGATAATTCAACATAATTTAAGACATTTATTTAAAGGAATTTTATTTATTTAAAGGATGGGTATATTATTTTATCTCATTTTATTCTACAAAATCAAAGATCACCTTAAACACTTAGTATACCCTTCCTTCCCCACAAATACCCTAAGCTAAAAAAAAAGTGAAGCACACTTCCAGGCACTCCATAAGGATCATGTTTATAGACACCAACTCGCACACACACACACACACATACACTCCAGACTGCGCCCACATAACTGTAAATAGCTCCCTCAGGGATGTTTAGCTGTCAACCCTCCAGAGCCCACCGGGGGTTGTCCTCGCTCCTTTTGAATTCAATTAAAGTGCTGCGGCCTGAAATTGCCACAATTTATGGCACTTGCCGGGACAAAACAACAGTAGTCCTTGTCACCCAGCGGGGGATGTATTTTTTTTTGGGTGGAGAGGGGTTGAACTATGCACCACACTGCGGCAGCTTAGTGTTAATTGTTTGTAATTCGTAATTGAATGTCCATTTACCGTCATGATTTGACTCTTGCAGTGCCGACTCGGTCACCTGGAATCCCCACAAGCTCATGGGAGCTCTGCTGCAGTGCTCGACGATTCACTTCAAGGAGGATGTAAGTAGCCTAAAGTGGAGTATATAAATATTTTATTATTTTAAGGATAAATAGGATATATAGATGTTTAATATATTACATATTTAAACTGATTTTTAAAAGGTTTTAGGAGAAAAGCCTTACTTTACAAATTTCAAGAATAAATTTCTGAATAAATGCCAAAATTCTGCATAGTACAAAATCGAAATAATTGTTCTGCAAATTCCAAGTGAAAAACTTAAAGGCCAGCATGATAGCATAGGGGAGTTCAAAGTTCATCCTTTGACCACTGCCTCCCACACACAATCCAACCAATACAATTTCGAGGGTTACCTCCAGCTCAGGCTCCCTGCTTTACATTCCTTCCTCGTGCCTCCTCCACTCAGCAACCAACATTCTTCTGGATGCACATCGGACAATGTTTGTGTAAAGAATTCCAATTGTGCTCCGAACAATTCCTTGTTGTTTCCTCCTGCCAAACCAGAAGGCGAATGTGGCCAGGGGTAGACTACGACGAGCACACAATGCGTACGAAAATCTTTGACAACCCTGGGCGAAATACACTGAGTCACCCTGGACGCTCTTTTACATCCCGGGCAATATGTTGCCATCGGTCACAGTTGCGCCTTTTGGCAGGCGGAATTTTAATTAAAATTTCAACTTGACTTATGTTCCGTAAAAAAAAGGGAGAGAGTGATTCGAAATCGATATTATTTCAGGGCCTTCTCATCAGCTGCAACCAGATGTCGGCGGAGTACCTGTTCATGACCGACAAGCAGTACGACATCAGCTACGATACTGGAGACAAGGTCATCCAGTGCGGTCGGCACAATGACATCTTCAAGCTGTGGCTGCAGTGGCGCGCCAAGGGCACCGAGGGTTTCGAGCAGCAGCAGGATCGCCTCATGGAGCTGGTTCAGTACCAGCTGAAGCGTATCCGGGAGCAGTCCGATCGCTTCCACCTGATTCTAGAGCCAGAGTGCGTCAATGTCTCGTTCTGGTACGTGCCCAAGAGGCTCCGGGGAGTGCCACATGATGCCAAGAAGGAGGTGGAGCTGGGCAAGGTAAGGGAAACTCTAGATAAAGCTTTAAATTTGATTATATTTTATATTTATATATACTCTTCTTGATAGATCTGCCCCATCATCAAGGGCCGAATGATGCAGAAGGGCACACTGATGGTTGGCTATCAGCCGGACGATCGGCGACCCAACTTCTTCCGCTCGATCATCTCGTCGGCAGCGGTCAACGAGGCGGATGTGGACTTTATGCTGGACGAGATCCACCGCCTGGGCGACGACTTGTAAGGGGTTTCAGTCCGGTCCGGTTGGGTTTGGATTATATGGGTGTTGATATTGGTAATGGTAGTTCGCATACAACCAAGAAATATCTATAAGGTAAAAGCATATCAGGAGACCGCAATGAAAAACCCCAGAGATTCGAGAATCGTTATTCGAGTGCAGGGGATAGAGATCCCAGAGTAATCATCCAGAGTTCAATGTTGAATGTACATTTGTTTGTATCTATAAAGTGTTGCTAGCTGTTCCTTTTTCGATTCCTCATCCCGTTATCTGTAATTCGTTATCCGTTGACCGTTATTCGTTGGCCTCAGGTGTTGGAAAACTATGTATAATCGAGTCGTTTGATTTCCGTTCGATGGCAACTATATCTAAATCGATTAAAATGAATAAAATGAAGCATATGAAGGAAGAAAGTGAAGCATCTAAAGGTAATATTTGAATATCTATATGTATACTGCAAATAATAATAGAAACCAGAGCATAGAAGCCACCGCTCCACACACGCACCACCAAACAACACGGAACAGTCCCAGCCCCACACTCAAAAAACACAACAAATACTGAGAACTGATAACTCAGAACTATGGAATATATACGATATAGAAACTGTTGGAACGCTATCTTAACATATCAGGAGAAGATGAAGAATGAGTTGAGGACTTTTAGTTTAATCCGTTGATTTTACTTTGTTTGCAAATAGTAAAAGTTTTCAAAAATAGACAAAGCTCTATGGCCATGCGTACCTTTATAAACAAAAAAAAAAAAAAAAAAAAACGAGATCGAAAGAGACCGAGACCTGTGCTTGTTAATTGTATAGACAAAACCAAAGAAGGGGATCTGGACTCCAGGTCCCACTTAGTCCATGTATCGAACTGTGCTATATATAGAGAAATGAATACGTATAATCGAATTAGTTGGAGTTTAGTTATCAGCTATTGGCTGGCAGAACAGAAATATATATAAACTATAAATATATATGTGCCCGGTGTCAATTAAACTCAATTACGAATGTTGGAAGGTTCTGTTGTTTTCTGTTTTCAGTTAAGTTTTCAATCTGTTATTGGTCCAGAAAGGTTTTTCGGGAAGGGTCAGGAATGGAAAGATCCCAATCAGAGAACACAATCAGACATGTTACACACACAAATCGTTTGTCAATTCAACCAAATTACAAATATATTCCCAAAAGAATTAAATTAAACATATATTGTATTAAAACAAGTGTTAACTAAGTTTATCCAGAGCATCAGTGTTATATGAATCACGCTCATTTTATGTCTGTATAAATTAATGTATATGTATTTGCAGAGATCCAAATCAAAGCCAGAACAAGAATTATTCCAACATCTATATAAATGCAAATGAATATATTATATATATATAAATATATGGGTAAATTAAAATAAAAGTAACCAAAGCGCAATATGTTGTTTCTCTTTGTTAGTTTTGTTTTTTGATCTCTCTTCAGGTTTGGGGGCTTGGTTTTGTCAAGAGCAGAGAACAGGGCGAGATCTTGGGGGCTTTGGAGAACCTATATAAGGCGGATCGTTGAGTGAAAACCTCTCAGTTCTTATCCGACTCACTGTGGCTCCGCACAGCATTTTTTCGGTTCTCTGCTTCAGTTTATTGATTCGCCCTCACCTGCCCAAGTTTTCCACTTTGAGCGCTTTTAAAATGTCTGCCAGTTTTGTGCCAGTGCCAGCGGGTAGTGATTTTCCCCTGGAAAATCTGCCCTATGCTGTTTTCTCAACCCAGAACAATGTGAGTTATTTGTGGATATAATATTTAGTAATTAATTGCCATCCAACGAAGTCAACTGTTTCTACAGTTAACCATTGCTTTCTTAATCTCTTGAAATGCAATTTTCCTAGAACGTTTCTCTAGTTTTTCACAGCTCAAACTAACTTTCCATGTGACTTTAAGCCAGATCCACATGTTCTAGAATAAAATTCTAAAACAGAAACCGCTTTGCGGCATAGAATTTGCATACATCATCCAACACAAACTAGTTTGTTTACGAAAACAATATGCTAATCCCACCTTAAACTACCCAGCAACCAGCTCTGATAAGGCCTCAAAATCATATCGTATGTGAATGTCGTAAATGATATCTCTCTTTTTCTCAACCCCATAGAAAGTCCATCGCTTGTGTGTGGCCATTGGAGAGCATGTCCTGGACCTGAAAGCTGTCTCCCAACTGTATCCTGCTCAAGTTCAGAAGAGCCTGCAGGCAGAAACTTTGAACGAGCTTATGGGTCTGGACTTTGAAGCTTGGGATGTGGTAAGGACACAGACTCAGAAGCTTTTGACTAAGGGTTCCGAACTGGATCAGAATGTGGACTTGAAGGCGGTGTAAGTTAAAAAGGCTTTATAATACATTTTTAAAAAAAGAATTAAAATTTAAATTAAATAATTTTGTTTATTTTATTAAATTTAAACTCTCAAAATCCCCTTATTCCAGTTCCATTATCCCCCAAACAGAGATTAGCCTGCATCTGCCTGCCCAGATCGGTGACTACACCGATTTCTACTCGTCCATTCACCATGCCACCAATGTGGGCATCATGTTCCGTGGTCCGGATAATGCCCTGATGCCCAACTGGCGTCACCTGCCAGTGGGCTACCATGGACGTGCCAGTTCTGTGGTTGTTTCTGGAACCCCAATCCGTCGTCCTTTGGGACAAACACTGCCCGAGGGAGCGGAGAAGCCTGTCTTTGGAGCCTGCAAGCTTCTGGACTTTGAGCTGGAGATGGCCTTCTTCATTGGCGGCAAGGGCAATCAGCTGGGAGAACCCATCCGGGTGGATGAGGCCTGGAAGAATGTCTTTGGATTTACGCTGATGAACGACTGGAGTGCCAGGGACATTCAGAAGTGGGAGTATGTGCCATTGGGACCCTTTACGGCGAAGAATCTGGGCACTACCATTTCTCCTTGGGTGGTGCCCACGGCTGCCTTGAAGCCTTTCCTCCTGGATAACTTCCCCCAGGAACCGGAGGTGCTGCCCTATTTGCGCCAGAGTGTGCCTTTTAATTTTGATATTAACTTGGAGGTTTCTCTGAAGCGTAAGTTTACCTTTAAATATAAATATATTTAAAAATTTATCTTGTATGCAAATAATATTTATAAATATTTTTTTCCCATTCAGCCGCCGACCAGAACGAGTCCCGTATCTCCAAGTCGAACTTCAAGCACCTGTACTGGACACCACTACAGCAGATTGCTCACCACACAGTCACTGGCTGCAACCTTCGTCCGGGTGACCTAATGGCCTCTGGCACAATTTCTGGCGAGACCCCAGATTCGTATGGATCCTTGCTTGAGCTGTGCTGGCGGGGAACCAAGACTCTGGAGCTACCAGGTGGCAAGACCAGGAAGTTCCTGCAGGACTATGATGAAGTCATCATTCGCGGTCACTGCGAGAAGAATGGACTGCGTATAGGATTCGGAGAATGTGTGGGTCAAGTGCTGCCCGCCCATCCAGTGCCTCAGTAGGGAGGAATACCTAAGGATTAAGGATGAATTTCGTTGAATAAAGATACTTGTATGCATGAAATGAGAGTTAACTAAATTAAATGAAGTTAATTAAATATTTTTAATGCGTTATTATTGCAGAAAAAGAAAATTATTTTATTAATCCTATCAAAAAATTAAAATAAATTATGTAAATTATAAAAGTCAAACTGTTTTCGCTTTAATATTTTCCTTAGTGCACTTGTTAATAAGCTCAACAAGTGCTTAAAGCTGGCGCTCTCACTGTCAACTACGCTCTCTTGATATTTCTCTCTCTCTCTCTCTCCTCCTAACTCTCAGCTGCTCCCCACACAACTGTCTCGACCGCTCTCCGCTCCAATGGCTCCAATCGCTGTCTCCGCCATTCCACGTAGCTTCGTAAATACACGCATGCCGCTTCTCCAGCTCTCGCTTCTTCTTCTCTCGCTGCTTCCTCTTTGCCTGCCCCAAAACGAGCGCCAGCAGAGAAGCAGCAGCGGTGGGAGCAGCGAACCGCATTCGCATTCGCGCATTCATTCGTCGGTTGTCGGGCAAAGGTGGCGCAGCACAAACGGCGAACGGGGCGTATGAGTAGTGGCGCGCCTATCAAGCAAACTTGTTTAAAGTGCCATAAAAAAGCCACACAAAAAATCAGCAAAAAAAGCAGAAAGCAGACGCTACTGGCGCCGGGTCACAATAATAATTTTCGCGACGAGTGTGCAACTTTTTTTCGTAAGCTAAAAAAGTTAATATCATATAAAAACCAACAGCAAATCGCGGAACAAGTGCAGTGTCGAAAAATAATGCCCTGAATTCAGTGTGTAAGTGAGCCAAAAAAAGAAATGTCTACAAAATATTATGCACAATAAGTGCAAATGTTTTTTCCGCAAACAACGCAGGAAAATGTCTTGGAAAAATCAATTTTTAACTCCACTCTGCGCAAGCACACACAGACACATACACCCAGAAGAGAAAGGGCGGGCAGGCAGACTGTGCGGGCCAGGGCCACCCACCCTGGTGGAAAATTCTGTCTGCACACAGAGAACGTGCACTGGGAGGAAAATTAAATAGATTCGAAGAATATTTTTCAATTTATGCTATCTGAATGATGGGTGTGTTTTAATTTGAAATGTATCTTTGAAATACTTCTCCTGGAGTCTTTTTTTTAAATTATATAAAATAATAATATAAAATATTGAAAGAAATTTCCCTTTAAATTTGATTGTTTGTACAAATACTTAATTATTATTTATTTAATTTTTAAAATTTAATTTCCTTCCAAATAACTTTCGAAAAGTACAACTGAAATGACTTGAAAACTTTATTTAAATATCCTTAAAGATATCTTATTTTTTCGAGTGTAGAAAAAAGTCAACAAGAGACCTCCAAGAATCCATTCCATTCCCATCCAATGCCCATTCACGTTCCCTTCGCCATTGTTGTTGCTGGAGAGCTCTCTTTCGTGCCCTTCCCTTGCCTCTCCAGCTTGCACTTTTGTGTTTTTGCATTGATTTTCTACATCGCTCCGCCGAATGTCACAATTGCCAAATGCAGCTGAAAGAACGCAAAAGCAATGAAAGAAGATGAATCCCTCGGAACACTCGAACTCAGGCACACACGCAAACACACACTCAGGGAGCACATTTCAGATGCACTGCAGCATTCTTGTGGGGACATGGACAAATGCACACGCAGCACGCAAAAAGTTAATCAGGCTTCAGTAAAAATAACAAATACAAGGGGGCAAAAAAGAAACATAGTATGAAAAGAATAGGGGCTACGAAGATATTTGTATACCCTTTGTTAAATATATAGATGATAGTAATGCTATGTATTATTATAAGGGGTCTAAAATCACCGCTCTCTATTGCAAATAAATCTTTTTCTACAAGAATATAAAAATATATTCAATTTAAAAAAGAAGAGAATATATAATCTTGATACAAAAGAATTTCAATAGACTCTAGGGTATTCAAAATATTTGCTAAAAGAGTTTCAGGCAAAAGCTGAAACTGGGTGTACATATTTATAATTTCTCAAGAGATTTTTAAGCCAAAAAAATAGCAATAGAATCTCTAAGTTGTCTGATACCCTTGGATTTGAGAATAAATAGAGCAAGTCAAATAATATTTCTACAGATACAATTGTGGATATTCCCAGGTATTCTTTTTCATTAATTTGATTAATTTAATGATATTATAAAATCCCTTAAATATTTATTTTATATTTTATATTGCCTTAATTAATCTACATGTCATTCCCCAAAAGCCCTAGGGTATTGAGCAGTATTTGCAATTAACTGGCGCCGTCGGCTATCGTGCGAGAGCAGCCGGCGGTCACCAGCTCCTCCTCCCCCTCGATTCTCCATGCCGCACTTGAGACAGCGCCAGAAGAACCTGTTTTGGCGCGTCAGAGAGACACTGAGAAGAGTCTTCTGCTGCTCTCTTTGGCCTGCAGTCTGCGCATGTGGCGGACAAGGAATAAGAGTGGCAAGGCGTGAGAGTAGAGAGCATTTTCCCCACTGCCGCCCCGTCAAAATTATTATTGTGCTATAAATTTGAGAATTACAAAAAACAAATACTGTTGATAACGGAAATTTGCTTTTGAATCTGATCGTTGATAGCCGGTTCTCCTACTGCCAATTCTTCTCCTCCAGAGCATTCTCTTACAGATAGTTATGTGCATCTTCCAGAGATTGTTCTGGTGCGGGGAAATCTGGTTTTTATAGATGACATTATTATATTGATGATTAGGAGATGTTAATGAGCTGGCACCTGGTGGAATTTTAATTATAATTAAGTAATATTTTCTGGATATCTTGGAATATCTAAGGTATAATCTTTTAGGTAATATTTTCCAAAAGATCGAACACAGCCTTCTTTGGGGTAAGTTTCATTTTAGTTTTGACTAAAATATCAGACAGAGAATGAGATATAACTTAAATAATAATATTTCTTAAATTAAATTTAATATACTCCCATATATTTTTTTAACATTTTTCTAATCTCGTCACGTAACCATCTCTAATAGCAATGCCTATCGCATAGAAGCATAGGGCAGAGATAGGCTAAGATAGTACAAGCTCTTGCTTTCATTCTTAATTTATTTTTAAGAAGTTCATGAATTGGAAACACCATAAATAATTGACGTAGATAGCAGAGGTAGATTTCATAATCGCGTGATAAGTGTATCCTGCCTCTTTCGTTTTGATAAAATGTGCTTATCGCGCTTCAAATTTCATGCCCCGTCACCCACAATTAACCCAAATGTCGCCAATGCAAATTCGTTACCAGAGCGCGGCTAGGTAAAAGTAAAAATACATCCATACATATTTATATATTTACACATGTGTATATAGAACACATACCCTCTAATTGGAGAGGAGTCAGGCGTAATAATTTCATCCAGCCACATAATTAATGCCTGCAAAATTTTCTAATCAACGCCGGGTTGTGAGCAGGGCAGACATGGAGAATGTGTATTTGCTTACTTCTTAATCTTGGGGTATATATGAACCTTTTAAAAATAAACTTTAAAATAAGTATAGAGGAAAAATGTATATCTCAAAAGTGGGTGGATAGAATAGGGAAAGTTATGAAGATACAATCATTTAAGTAAGCCTTTAGGACATACCTGAAAATGTAAAATTTAGTTTAAAAATCCTTAAAGTTAAAGTATTCATTTTTAGAATTTATTCCTATATAGAAGTATTTACAATTCGATATCATCTTCGTAGCATTCAAGCGTAACTGAAAATGATTTTTGCTTATTCTGGCGGCGCCTGGTTCCAAATGGGTTCCAAAGTGCAACAGTTCCCCCGAGACTTGGAGTGGGTGGCTGCCGGCAGTTACCGAGCGTCCCCCGATCGTCTCCTCACGAGAGAGACACTACGTGATCGCGGAACTTCGGGTTCGGGATGGAGGATTGTGGTGGAATCGTAGAATTGTTTGAGTATTTGGGTCTGAGCATTATCGTCGGCCGTTGGCTTGATAAAGTCGCTGAGCTTGCAAATTGTCATCGCTTATTGATACATTAGCCGACTGGGAGAGTGAGTGGGGTTGGGAAAGGGTGCGAGTGTGTCGCAGACAATTGATAATTCCTGCGTAGATGCTATTTATAAAGAAGTCAACACGAGATTTACATACAATCACGCTCTTTCAGCAGTTTCAGGTTCCGCAAAATGCCGTAAAATTGGATAGCATTTGTTGGCCAGTCAAAATCACCTGAAAAAATATCAACCAAAGGGTAGCTTCTCAAATAACTTATCAGACATGAATTGGGTTATCTACAGTTCTTGGTCGTGGCTGCTGCTGGCCGTGATCTCCCTGGGCAGAGCCTGTGAGTATTTAAATATTAATTATTAAAAGTAAAAGTATTTATTAATTGAATTTTCTCCTATACATTAGCACCTGTGCCCAGTCGCCAGTATAGCTGCATGAGCTACCAGGAGAACGACAACTCGTTCCACGACGATGACACCGACCAGGATGTTAGCAACGAACTGCAAGAGCAGCAAATAGAATCCACTGTACTGCCCGACGAGCCACACCAGCGGACCTGCTCCGATGGTTATACCTTCTGCTTTACTCTATGGAATCAGACGGCCAATGAGACAAGGGTTGTCAAGCAGGGTGAGTTCATCTAGGAGAAGAATTCCTGAAGTTTTAGTATACTTAAATCCTGTATAAATCTCCCCCTAGGTTGCTGGAAAGACAACACAGATCGTCCTTCGATCTGCAGCCATTCGGAGTGCACCAGCTCGGCGCCCACCTCGAAGACCAACTCCCTGTACTACTGCTGCTGCTCTGGAGATGTGTGCAATAACCACTATGCCGTGGTGGAGCCAGCACCTCTGGAACTGGGCTCCAACGATGCCAGATCTTCAATCACAAACCGAGCCACGGCAAAGCAGCAACAATCCTTCATGGCCAGCACAATGTTGGGCTTTGCTGGTGGGGTAACTGCCCTCATGATTGGCATCTTCTTTGCCGTTCAGTATTGCCGCGGTCCCAAAGAAAAATCCGAGCCGGAGGAGTCACCACTGGCACCATCGGGTCCCGGTTACAGTTCCAATCTGCGGAACGTGGACAATATGAATCTGATTGGGATGCTGGGCAGCGGCAAGTATGGAACTGTGATGAAGGGTCTGCTGCACGACCAGGAAGTGGCCGTTAAAATCTATCCCGAAGAGCATCACCAGTACTATGTGAACGAGAGGAATATATATGCCCTGCCCTTGATGGATTGTCCAGCGCTGCTAAGCTATTTTGGTTAGAATCATCCAGAAAATAAAATTATTTCTTATTAAATAATGTATCCCCAATTTCAGGCTACGATGAACGTTGCACAATGGATGGCCGCATGGAGTACCAGCTGGTGCTCTCCCTGGCTCCCCTGGGATGCCTTCAGGACTGGCTGATAGCCAACACCATGACCTTCAGCCAGTGCTGCGGCATGCTGCGGTCCATCACCCGGGGCATATCCCATCTGCACACGGAACTCCGGTTGGGGGATCAGCACAAGCCGTGTGTGGCCCATCGGGACATCAACACCCGAAACGTGCTCGTCCAGGCTGATCTAAGCTGTTGCATTGCGGACTTTGGATTTGCCTTGAAGGTTTTCGGATCCAAGTACGAGTACAAGGGAGAGGTGGCCATGGCGGAGACAAAGAGCATCAACGAAGTGGGCACCCTGCGCTACATGGCTCCGGAATTGCTGGAGGGAGCGGTGAATCTACGAGACTGCGAGACCTCCTTGAAGCAGATGGATGTTTATGCTTTGGGATTGGTTCTCTGGGAAGTGGCCACACGCTGCTCGGACTTCTATGCCCCTGGCCAGGCTACGCCACCGTACAAGGCTCCATATGAGCAGGAGGTGGGCTCCCATCCCAGCTTCGATCAGATGCAGGCTCTGGTGGTGCGGCACAAGGCGCGTCCGCTCTTCCCCGCCGGCTGGGGTGGCGGAGCAGCGGCCAAGGTGGTAAGGGACACCTGTGAGGATTGCTGGGACCATGACGCGGACGCCAGGCTGACTTCGTTGTGTGCCGAAGAGCGCATGCAGGAGATGTCTGGGCTAAGGCCACGAGCCCAGGCACAGCCGGCCAGTCCCCTTCTGAATACCAACAATCTGGTGGCTACACCAAACTCGGAGCAGGTGAGTTTGACTTGAAAACATATTAAACTCCTAGATGCTAATCCCTCTTTTGCAGGGCATCAATGCCATAGCCGTGGCAATCACAACGACCACTACATCAGCAGCAGTGCATCACCAGATGAGCTCCGACACTGTTGGCCTCATCCAGCCGCCACCCAACCAACAGCTGCCAGCAGCTGCTCTGGAACGGGAGAAGAATCACCTGAGCTATCCCCAGCTGCAGCTGCAGCCGTATCAGGGCAGGAATCCCTGCCAGGAGCGTAACCTAGCACCGCTGCCCTTGCGCACTCCCCCGGTCCTGGTGGAACGGAGCAAGAAGCACAGTTTCCAGACACAGCCGCAGGAGAACTCACTGTCCTGCCTGGAGCACGACGTGAGTGTGGAGGAGCTGATAGCCAATCATCACAATCACCAGCAACAGCAGCAGCAACACCAGCAGAAGAACACCATAGTCAGCATTGCCGGGACCAATACAAATCCCAGCCTGGGTCAGGGATTTCCCAAGCAACAGAACACGGACCACAAGCTCAGGGGATGGCATGGGGTTAGGGCTCTGATCCACAAGAAGCTCTTCCGCAAGGAACACGCCGAGGAGCTGTGCCGGCAACTGCAGCTGGGCGAGGAGAAATCCAATCTGGTGACGGCACTGCGTCGACCCAATAACTTAGACTTGAGTCCCCGGCTGGACAAGCCTACGCCGATTCAGCTGCGGAGTGCGGAGCAGCGCAGTGGGACACCAGCACACATAGTGCCCAGATCCCTGTCGAGCAGCCTGATCAAGCACATGAATGGGAGCAGCAGCAGCACCAACAACAACTCCATCCTCAGTCATGGAAGCGAGCTGCAGACCCTCACCCGACCCGCTACAAAGCGAAGGCCTGGCCACCTGCGCACCAACTCCCTGATGGCCACCACCACCACGGGTCACCAGGGTCCGCCCACGGAGCAGCAGATGCGACGCCAGCATAGCCTGGAGGTTTTCCGTGAGGTGTTTAGCGGACGGGGGAGTAGCGAGCGACTGAGGGATCCCAGCGAAAGGGTCAAAACACCAGGAGATGTCCCACCTTCTGTGAGGAAGGCCAGGGCCAGCAAGACCCTCAGCCTGTACGATGATCGTATGATGGACTCATCGCTGCTCAACATTCTCTAGCATGAGGAGGTCCTGCTGCTGGAACTATAAGCTAGGCAGCAGGACACGGAACTGGACTCATATCTCATCCTTCATCGAACACATATTCAACGATAGCCATAAAGTAGAAGACTCGAATCGCTTCCTGAAACAGTCTTCTCACATAAAGTAAAGGACAGAAAGGGGCACTGTTTGGGGTTTTCAGATTCTTTCGATTTCAGAGGAACATCAATATAGTGAAAGGCTTCCAAGAGATTTCAGAACCTTTTCTTAATCTAAAAGAACATTCAAATCGAAAGAACTCAGTTTATATGGAAACCCCAAATATATCCCTCATGAAATCATTTATTTTTCGAACATAACATAGCGGGAAGTAAAGTTCACAGATAGTACGTGTATATCTAGATGTATTTTTTCACCAATCATCCTAGCGTGTAGTGCGGCAAACAACCAAAGTCCTTATAGGTTAGATCAGACTAGAATCGTACGGAGTATCAGTATATAGAGCAGGCAAGCTGCCCCACAACCATATATATATATTTTTGACTTGAACTTGAACTGGGACAAGAGCGAAACAGGTAGTAGACTATATAGTTTATATATATGTGTATGTATGTAAGCGGTTTTCACTCGAGTTGAGCTTAAGGACAACAAAGGGAGGAGAGTGAGGAGCTAGGGGCTAGGTCGGACCACTTTTATAGAGCCATATATGCTAACGATTCCCATATATCTATAATTAAACATTGTACTGGAATATTTAGTCACCACAACACATACAACACATACGAGCAATCGTCGGGATTGTCGTAAAGAGCACAAAATACTCGAATTTGAAGTATTTGGTTAATAATTTCTAAACCCAACTTCTTATGAGCAAAAGACAGCCCCGAAACTCATGGCAAAACAATCCATTTATTCGAGTATTTGGCAGCCCAAATCTTTTGGATGAATTTTCAATGAATGCCTTTTTGTCGTTCTCTTTAGTACTTAGACCAAAACACCCGCAGCCTTTCAATCACATTAAATGCAAGTCTAGTTATATATAATTTACACTAATTATAAACTAATTTAATACAATTAATAAACGAATTATTTAAAAATTGTACAAAAAGTCTGTTTTCTCTCAGAAGTAGTTTGCATAAGACTTAAATGTAGAGCCTAGTCGGTACGTGGTTTCAGCTCGATGAGAACTGGAGCATCGGGTTTGTTTATCAGCAGGGTCTTGACATCCAGCTGAGCATCGGAGCCGCTCCAAATCAGTTCAAAGTGGCGCACCATCTGGTAATCAAATTAAAGAAATGAAATAAGTAATTACAAAGCTGGAGGGGATTGCTGTGCACTCACCCGGAGCAGCAGAATGTGCATGTTCTGCTCGGCCAGGCGACGGGCTATGCAGGCCCTCATTCCGTGACCGAAGGGAAGGACTAGATATGGATTCAAGGCACTGCGGTGCTGAAGCCAACGATCTGGCTTGAACATCAAAGGTTCCTCAAAGTGCTGGGCCAGCCGACAGGCCACCATGTTCTGGGTCACCACGGTGGTCTACATATTAGATATAATATAGTATTTTAAAAATATGAATTTCCAATTTAAAACTCACCCCCTTAGGCACAAAGTAGCCACTGAAAACTGCATCCTGGTTGAGGATTCTACCCACACCCACAGCTATGGGATTTAGGCGCAAAGATTCCTTGAGCACAGCCCTAGTGTAGGTGATATCGGTGCGCAGGACATCCGCCGATAAGGACTCCTTGGGATTGGGTAACACTCGCTTGGCCTCTTCGTAGAGTCGCTGCTGCACCTCGGGATTCCTGGCCACATGATAGAGCAGAAAAGCAGAGGCATACGAGGTGGTATCGATGCCTGCCAGGAGCAAATCTGCAGCTGTTCCCACCACATCACTGCGATCCAGTTCGGGATTTTTTAGGTATGCTGAGATAAGCGAGGAACCCACCGAACCATTGCTTATGTTCTCTTCCAGAAGTTCCAGAGCCACTCCCTCCATGAAGGACTGGGCTTGGCTCAGCTTTCGATAGCTGGGTGTCTCTAGGAAACGCCACAACTGAAGACCCTGATCGGTGGGCAGGATACAACTGTTTGTGGTCTCGGCGGCATGCATTAAGCGGGTGGAGCGGGACTCAGCATCCTGCTCCTTGTGGGAAAAGGACTGCAGGCGGGCCCCAAAGGTGAGCAGGCAGGTTACTAAGTGAGGGGATTATAAAAGAAAGTGTAAGTATATTTAAAAATATATTTATATTTACTTAAGGAATGTATAAAAACCTACTCACTCATTACATTTTCTACACTTTTAATTTTTACTACAAAAGATATATCCTAATATTTAAAAAATATTTTATTAGGAAGCCTTCCTTGCTCTTAAAATCTTCTCAAATCCTTTCTTTAACGCAAAGTACTTCTACACTTGACAATGTCTCAAACGACTTTGAATACTGAATCGCAAAGCAAATGATATTTAAACCTTTCGTCGTCAGCAGTTAGCTCTGCAGGTTTCTGTTGTATCAGCCTTATAAAACTAACATGACTTGGTAATTTACATAGCAACGGTATTTTTAGCGAAAACCTTGCTGGAAATAATTCAATTCCACCGGAGATTGCTTCACCGTGAATCTGACTTTCAAATCCTAGCTAGAATATATAATTTCCATGCGATCTGTGATCGATCTCTTACTTACATTCCAAATTCAATCTGGTGAGTTTGGGAAGCATGTCGATGGCCACACTGCCGTCATCCCGTGACTCTTGGAGAAATCTCAGGAACTCCTGAGTGACGCCGTCCACTTGGTTAACGAAGCCACGCACACTCTTCGGAGCACTAAGCTCCTTTTGGAGCTGGGCACGTAGGCGCCACCAGTCCGGACCATTGGTGGGCAGCAGACCGGTGGTCTTGTACACTTCCGGTCGCTTCTGGCGGTACTGGGCCAGAGCCAGGTGACTCCTCCGCTGCGGACAGTCGCGCTCGTTGAGCAGCAAGGCAATGTCCCGGGGATCGTACAGCCAGACGATGTCCTGGCGGGGCACTATGACTTCCCTGACAATGGCCCCGTACTTCTCGTACTTATCCTGCCCGGCCTGGTGTAGCTTCTGCCAAGAGTAGGATCCGATTCCAGGCAGATAGTTGTAGAGATTGCCCATCCCAAAGGGACCACGAGGCCCGGGAATGGCCTCGTAGGGTTTGGCAAAGGTGCACTGACGCGACGTGCAGCTGATCTTGAGCAGTTTCGTCAGCATTTCTCTGGGTTCTCTGGATGTCTTTTCACGGCAAATTCTGGAAATGCACTAAAGACAGCATGGGCCTTCGGGGTTTTATTGCTGCTGCTGGCTCAGCATTCGGGTTTTGCACCCGGAACGGATCGCCTCTATTGTCTCACTTGTCGCAAAAGCCATAAAATAAACTCGGGAGGAGGTTGTGTGCCTACCTGATGAATCTACCACGGTTTAGTCTACCTGAGGTGGTAATCTCTTAAGACAAACGAGCTCTTGGGTAATCTCTTTAGTTGGAAGAGAGTTTTATTCGGAGAAGTCTGGAATGCAGGAATTGTGGCATGTGGTATACTTTTAGGAGGGAATAAGTATAATTTTAGTTAAAATATATATATATATAATTCTAAAATGTTTAAATAGTTAATTTATAAACTTTACCAGACATAGGCAAAATAATCAACCTAGATATCCATATACCTAAAAGGAAACTAATTTAAACAATTAATCCCCTATTTTAAATCACATAAAAATGATTGAGCTTCAAGACTTAAGATTTCTTAAGCTTCGCTTGAATTTACATTTAAATGGACAGCCTGCCAAAAAAGGTAACCCGCAAATATAGGTTAAAACCCCAAAAAGGCAGTGACAAATGTTTATTTTTTGCAAACTCATAAATTAATTCAACACTCATGACTAAAATTGTGTCAAAATAAAAATAAAAACTGCTAGAAATAGGGAGATTGTTACTACATTTATTTATTACCAGTCTTTATATGTTGTAAAATATTTTTGTGTATTAAAAATACAAACAGCCTGAGAAAGCTCATCAATCCTCCTTTTTATCCAGCAAAGTCTTCTCTTCTTGGATGAGCAACAAATCCTCATCTGTGAGATTGTTTTCTTCTGCCAATCCATCTACTCCTTTTGGAATGTCTGACTGATTTTCTGAGAGTAACTCCATTTCACCTTCGATTAATTCTTCTTTTAAATCTTCCATTAAACTGACGTTTTGTTCTAAAATCGTCTTATTCTCGGGCATTGTTTTCTCGACCACCTTCTTAATCTTTTTGCGTTTTTTTAGCTCCTTTTTCTTGGGGGCTTCTACGAGTTTAGAAATTACGCTCAACAAATTTAAAACGAAGAACAGAAAGAGGAGAAACGGCACTGCCAGGACATCCAAAGAGTGGGCAACAAAGAAATTCTGGTCAATGGCCTCCACTTGGGCGAGATGCCTATAGAAACGTGGCTCGGCAATCAATTTTTCAGCATGCCAAATGGCGATTTCAATAGGGGATTGCTGGCGGGCAAGAAAGTTCTGCTGGGCCTGGTACAGAACGGTGGTAAATTGTTGGACATCGAGGATCAATTGGAGGGCATCATGGAAGGATTGCAGATGGAAATCCTTGGCCGAAAGCATTACACCCAAGCGGCGTTCTTTAACACGCTGAGCAGTCTGCATAATGATTTGTATTAATAAATAAACTAAATAAATATAACTTCTCTAATTTTCACTCACATTAAACTGCTCCAAATTCACGGGAAGAACAACCATGGGTACGCCATAAAAAACTGCTTCCTGGACACTAAAACTGTCGCCATGATTGAGAAAGCCTTTAACAGCAGACATAGCTGAAAATTATCAACAATTTTTAATAATAATAAATACATAAATTATGTTAAATAATATTTAATATTATTCTCACCTAGAATATCCTGTTGTAGGGACTGATCATTATGAAGTGTTAACAAATTTGGCATTTCCGCTGGCAGGACTTTCATCTCCTTAACATTCCAAATGAAACCACAGTTGGGATTGTCGTGTATCATTTGGACCATAGACTCAATTCCCTGGCCAATCGACTCGATGTAAGGCAAATTGATGTACACAATGCCGTAGATGAATTTTTCCGTAAACTTTTCTATATAATCAGGCAAAGGACTGATCTCTTGTTTGATGTGAAGTCCACTCACTTCGATGACGCCTGGCGGCAGATTCTGAACATAATCCACGACAGGATGTGTGTTGAGTAACACCAGTTGCAACTTGGGAAAAACTTTTCCCGTGGACACGGTTTTAGAAAGAACGGGACGAATGATTACCCAGTTGATTCTATAAAGCCATAATTATAAATTATATATTGCAAAGAATAATTATTCCCTTAACAGCTACTCACATTGGCTCGCCCAAGTACATGATGTGATTGTGCAAACGATTCCAAAATCCCATGTTCTTGGGTACCTGGCTGAGATGGTGCGGAGTCCTGGCCGCACTTATAGTGTCCTCCGCCTGGAGCAGGGAGATCAGGTCCGGGGTGAGTTTGCCAGCACTCAAACCGAGAACGGGTATAGGGTCCCAGCTGGGCACCAGATCCATGAGACAATTTGCCCCCTCAGTGATATCCGTGATTATCAGATCGAATTCCTGAGAGACTTGAGTTACCAGCTCGGGCAGCAGCCGTTTAAAGGTTTCGGACCCCATGATTGATTGGCAGCTGCCCAGGATAACTTCGTACCAGACCAGAAGCTGCTTGAGAGCCATCATCGGCTGATACTTCCCAGTTTCTTTGTCCAAGAAGTGCTTTTGCATCACGTCGTAGTCATTGGGCAAATGGCTGTAGACCAGCCCCTCCCTGGGAGTTAGTTTCAGCTCAGAGCTGCTGAGCACCGACAGGTGGTGGCCTTTGGCTAGCAAAGCCTCAAAGAGCGGAAGCGACCAGCTAGGATTATTGTGCTTAGCAGAACTCACCAAACACAGGATTTGAGCCGCCTCCAGGAAGCAGAAGCTTCCCAGTAGAAGGAGTACCGGCAGCAAAGCGACAGTCTTCATTGCTCCAGTTTCTGTTCACCACTGAGTCACGTTTGTTGCTGGTTAACCGGCACCGATAAGATTTACCTTTCTTTTTTTTTTGTAATGGATTTGTCGAGTAGATAAGGTTCCCCTCTTTTGGGAGATATGGGACCGAATGACACCAACGAATGTGTATGGACTGTTTGTAACAAGCAACTGAAGCAATGGTTGCTTGATAATAAAAGTTGGTTGCTATTATTTTCGTATCCAGAGATATTGATCTGAGATATTGAAATATAAACACAAATTTCAATTTAAATAATTATTTATTATCTTCAAACTTCTTAACAATACACAAAATAATGGTTCGCACTAAGATCCTAAGGCTTCCAGGCAACGGGTGTGCATTCCTCTCAAATGCACAGCTATTGGCCAAGAAGCGGCTATCGTTATCGTTATTTATTAATCGGTTTAATCGTAGTTTATCGTATTGTTTGTAGGGGGAATACCAAGGGTTGGATGAACAGAGAGCTTTGTTTATTTACTTTTCGTTAATATGGCAAGATTAATACGTGAAACGATTTCTCCCCCCATCACTTGTGTGTGAGTGTACCCCTAAAGTACCTATTCTAGGCGCTAATTGCACGTAGTTTCGATATACATAAATTAAGTTACAATGTAGGTGTGATTAAGCATTAAATTAATTAACACAGATGTTGTTTTCTTTGTGTGAATGTGCGGGCACGAAAAAAGAGTGTGTATAGTAGAGAAGGTAAACGTGGTTATATGTACAGGTTAATCTTAAGAGGCGGGGACTTCCCCTGGCTGAGGTTCTACGGTTAGTTTTGGTGCCTCGATTCGAGTGGGTCATTCGGGAATGGGTTAAGTGCAGCACCTTCGATTTGGTGGGTTCTGATCTTTCCTCGAGATCAACCCACACAAATCCTCATCAATGATCCTATTCCCCTCTATTCCTATTCGTTGACCAGCTGTGCCGGTCCTGGTTCATCAAAGGGCGCTCCATTGGCGCCCACATATTGGTTGTTATTCCGATGAACGAATCCCCTTCCGGGCGCGGCATTGTAGTACACCACCCGCCGGATGCCAAAGGGATCCACGTAGCCAAAGCTGCCGGCTCGCTTTCCGTCCGACGGATTCGTCTCCTCCTCGTGATACTGCTTGGGCAGCACATACCGGAAGCCATTGCGGGTGTTGGCAATGCCATCATATTCAGAGGCTGCCAGGCTGTCCAGATGATTGCTCTGCACTGGCCTAGGACGCAGACGCCTTCGGTAGCCCCTAGAGGGCAGAGGCGGTAGCAGGGCCGACTCCAGAGAGTTCACCTCCAGCGGCGATTGCGGCAGCGGAGGATAGTAACCATAGCCAGTGCTGGCGGATGTGGCAGGCGGGGAGTACTGATAGGCAGGAGCAGCAAAAGGCTGCGGCGTTGAGTAACCATACAAATCTCCGCCAGATATAGGCGCAGGCGTGCTGGAAACAATTGCAATGGGTGCTGGCGTTGGACGCGGACGCAGTCTTCTTCTGTGGGCACTCAGAGGAGGCAGCATATCCAAAGCCGGAGGTCTGGCCGTTGTAGAACTGATTACGGAACCAAACTGGCCATGGCCAAAGGCACGATCCGCCTCGGCATCGTACACATTGATGGCATTCAGTTCCAGCTCCTGGACAGGCTCTGCATTGGGGTGAATGTCCACCAGCGGCTGATGGGGCGTCTCATACAACTGATCTTGCGCCCGGGGCAACTCATCCGGATAGTGATCGAAGCCAAGCTGCGTCTGTGGCTCAATTTTGGCCGCCTGTTCCGGCGGCAGGTAGTTCAGCTTGCCCACGCCAGCCTCCTCCAAGATGTCCAAAGGAGGCAAAGCAGCTGGCAGTGGTGCCGGTGTGGTAGTTGAGGTGGTACTGGACACATAGCCGTAGCCGGCTCGCTGATAGTTGCCCAGGCTGTTGGTTGAGGATCCGGCAGAGCCGCCACCGCCATGCACCAGGACGCCTGATTGCGCAGGAGCTGCCTTTGTGGATTTAATGGCGTCCTAAGGGGTTTACAATTAAATAAAATTATTTAATTATTTTAAAAACCTCTTCACATATTTTTAAATAATTTTTTATCTCACCTCAACGGCTCTTCCCACGCCTACGTATATAGTCTTGGCCTTGAGTATCCTGTAGCCCTGCTTATCGGCTATATAATCCTTTTGCCGCAAATATCCGGCAGCATCGATCCAGGCTTCAGTGCCTGTTAAAAAATTAATTAAAAATCAAAGAGTTCAGTAAACTCCCGCACCTGAGAGCACTCACCTATGACGGTGCCGTCCTGAAGCCGCTTCTCCTTGCGGAACTGACCGCTGTCCGTTTGGAAGCGGAAATACCGCTCCGGTCCCTCGTCCGTCTGGATGTGGTATTGATTTGCACTGGGCGCCTGGCTGGCCAAGATGCCAGAAACGACCGCTGCCAGGGCCATCAGCGCCAGCTGCAAAGGAAAGTTTGTTCGATGAGTTGTGGGGGGAATGTCTCCGAGGATTGGGTATTTCTAACTAATCACATCCGCCGGCAAGCTGCCCCAGGCCAAAACTGGCGGCTTTCCGGTGGGGCAAATATGCAATATATGCAGAGTGGAAAATAAAATAAAGTTTATGGTTACTCGTCTTACAAATGTAATGAATAAAAACACTGCAATCTTTGGGTTCTTGTAAAAAATTAAAAAAAATAAAGATTTAACATTTTGATTGTTGGTCTAAATAAAGCTTTGTATCTTAAGATAACTTTGCTTTTAGTTTTTTTATATCCAACCTTATATCTATTATCCAATTCCCATATACAAGTATTTCTCCCAGTGTGTGGCACGTTTCAGAGTCAAGGTGACACCACTGGACCGGGAGGAATCAATGGCACAAGATGCGGTTGTGCAACATTCAGGCAGACCGCGTGCGGAAATGCAGCTTGTGAAAGTGTTTTTCACAGCCTTCGTTTCCACAGCAGCAGCAGCAACAGCAGCAGCGGCAGCTGAATCAATAACATCAACACAGAAATCAAAACATTAAACCATCAACAAAATCAGACCGGTTCACGTGGCGTATGCGTAATACAGATGACTCGATTTGGCGCTACAGAGGATGGGCATGACTTGGCTTGACTTGGCTCACTGTTAAGGTTGAAACTGAAATTAAAATTCTTTGGCCAATTATTCTAAAGTATGAGCCACCCGCACGTCGCAGCATTTACGCTTCAATTACTTCCAGCATTCCGTCATAAATTTCCAACACCTCACCAGGTAAGAGAGGTGAGAGAGGTTTGCGGTGTGTGTAGGTAGCACTTTGTGGGTGGAGCAACTCAGAGCCAAGTTTGCAGGCTAATTTCGGCTGCCACTGACATTTTTATTTGTTATTTTGTATTTTGTTTTTATTATAATTTCGTGCTCGTTACTGGCTTATTATTATTCGTCTTGGCCCAACGCAATTTATGGCACTTTAATTAATTGTTGCTGAGACATTTTTCGGAATAATCAGAATACAATTTTTTAACCACACGGAATGAACTTCCCTGTAAGGGGGACCCCTCCCATTCCAAATAATGGCGAATTATCTCATTGATTTATCGCTCTAATGACTAGCACCTGTCACTGACTAAACGCGATTATAAATCATATTCTAAGGAGGCAGATTACATCAGCACAAATGTGTAAAAATTCCCCAACACTTTCTTTTTTAGCTCGAATAAAAATTTTTTTGGGAATATTTAAATGAGGCAAGAATACAAAGAAATTCTTAAACAGTTAGTAAACAAAGTTTAAGGTAATAAAAAATTAGAAAGTAAGGCTGGGAGAAGTAAACAAATTAATATAAGTTTGGTAATATGTATATTTATTAGAACAAGTTATCATTAGTAATTAACAATATTACCTTCTCTTATCCCTAGTTTCCTAACTCCTGTGACCTGTAAAAATGCAATGACATCACCACCCCGAAAAAAGCAGCCTTTTACCAAAAACAAATAACCAGACACTTTTCTTTTGAAACCCCTCTAGTAGATAATAAAATAGCAAATTGCGTCCCATTTGCAAGATATTCGCGTGTCGGAGTCACAGTCGCCGTGCCCATATATATAACTATGGGTATCCACCACAAGCTCCATGCGAGCACAGATGGAGATTTATTTGATCGGCTAACGCAACGAAATAAATTGCGAGCAAATTATTGCGACTGTTTCCGCTGTGCTTTGGCCAAAAACGAGAGTAAAAGTGGCCACCGGCCAGCGGCGGGGAGTTGGGAGAGATCTCTCAATGAAATTGTCTGCCCCGAATTGGAAGTCGAATTGCACAAAAAGAAATTTTAGTAAAATGTTTGAGGATATGAGTAGCTAAATAGTACTTTTTTTTTATAAAAAATTGAAATATATATGATAAATATAAGACATAATTATAATATGTTTTGATACTAAAAATATTAACATGAAGTTTTGTCATATAAATTAAATATTTTAAATAGTCCATTTATTTTTATAAATAGTTCCCAAAATTATCTAATTAGATATGATTTCAAAGTATTTAACTTACTTTTTTTCATATTATTTATAAGCTATTTAAATTTTAAAATAATTATTATAAAATGCCCCATTTTGTATTTATTTTTTCCTGCTGTGTCTTAGTTATCCAACTGGTTTCTTGTTTGGACGGATGCTTGCCTGGTTGCCAGAGACTCTGCAGCATATGTTGCAGTTGCAGTTGCTGTTGGGGTTTCTGCGGCGGAGTCTGTGGCTATGGCGGTTACGTGAGAATCGCCTGGCGAGATGACTCCCGACGTGGCGAACTCCTTTTGGGCGCGATCAAAAGTGGAAAATCACGTTTTCCTTGGCGCGCAATTTGGTGTTTACTTTATTGTTTTCGTTGTGGCCTCTCCCCCCTGCCAGAGTTGCCTGTCGAAATGGTAACAAAACAGCAACAAGCGTTTCTTTTTCCGTTGCGCAACCATCGCCCCCGCAGCCTCCACAACCTCAACACCCCCCCTTCCCACCCTTTGTAACTTACGCAACCTAAAATTGCTCGGCTGACCCCAAAAAAAAAGACAGAAAAAATAATAATAGCTGAACAAAGAATTCTGCAAAATGCTAAAAAAAAAAAAACAAAGCAATCATAACTCCCCATTGTCGCTGACCTTCGCTCTGATCATAGTTTGCTTTTAATTAAAACTCACTTCAATTACGATCGGTCCGCTCCAAATTCACCATCAGAGATGATAAATGAGGCGGGGAAAACTCGAATTTAATGCTTTAGTTTTTGTGTTTTTTCGGCCTGCATTCTGAGCACGAACAAAGACCTAATGAAGCCCATATCGCCTGCCATCGAGACTTTCAAATCGATCCGACACATGTGGATCGTATTTGATTTCGCCTAATGGTTGGTTCCGATTTGGTGGTTTCGTGGATTTTTTCGGGGAGTGTTTTATTTTTGCATACCGCCTCCCAGGGAGTGCATGTTGCGATGGTTATTCATTCGCTATTTCCCCGTTTGCAAATTCGATTATGTGGCTTCCGCCTGGGGGATGGGATGGGTGCTGCCATGAATCATGCGGCATGGAAACCCACAGAAATCGAGAGCGGAAAATCTAGTTCATGTCGCAAGCGGATGCCTGTCATGTCCAGCCTCGCCAAGTTGGTGGAAAATCCGCTTCTAAATGGTCATGTTTTTTAGCCAAGACCATGAATCTTGTGGCGAGGAAGCTTCAAAGAAATCGAGAGTGGAAAATCTAGTTGAAGTTGATTTTTTTTTTAACGAAAAAAATCTTTGATGATTCATTAGCCGAGGTTTTTGCTGTGTTTATTTTTCAAAAATAAGTATTTTATGATATAATTGATAGTAAATCTTAGATTTAGATGGATTTATTAAAATAAAATAAACAATTTCATACAGATTTAAGCACAAAAACAAAAGACTTAGGGCACAAACCTGCTCAGAAACTTGGGGGAAAAAACTAAACAAAATAAATCCGTAGTTAAGTCGCCATTAATAACACTTTAATTTTTATTGGCACTTAACTTTTTACTGCCCATAAAAGCTTATAATATTATTTCAAATATTATTTATAGGATCTTTCGAACCACTCAAGGCAAATCTTAAGGTCTAAGTACATATATTTAAATAAATAATTAAGTAAAAAAAAATTCCCAAAACTAATTCCGAACATTACTTTGTTAAGCATCATAAAGTTTTCATTAAATTATTATAAAAATCCACAGAAAATGTCAATAAGCTTCTTGGCAAACCCATAGCTGTTTACCGAAGCAAATAATAATTTCTAATTGCTCAAATTCCACAACCACACACACACACGGCAGCCACCGAGCAAAACATGAACATGAAACTCTATATTCAGCTAATGAAACATTTCATTAGACACCATCAATTCCGAGAATGCGACCCGCAAAACAGCCGCAAAGCGAGTGACTATTGAATTACAGAGCCGCCAAAAGATATGCGCGAGGGGGGAGGATGACACCCACACAGATATTTATATATTATTTCACCAGGGCAGATCGCAGATCGCAGATTGGAAGATCGGGTGATCAGAGGGGGGATTCTGACTGACAGCTCGCTGTCAGATTTCGAGCAAAAGCCCGCAGATTTTTTTGGCGGTGGGAAGCAGCTGACAAACAACAACAATCTGCCATACAAAATTGTATTAAATTTCGTTAGTTGTTTGACTTTTCGTTACTTGCGCAAAAAAAAATATAACAAAAAAAAAAGCAAACTACAAAAACTAAACGAGTAAAAGCAAAAAAAAAGAGTGCTTGCCTTTTTCGGTCAACGATTTTTTCGGCTGCGGCATTTCCTGTTTGTCTTTGGCCGTTTATTGACTTGAAGCCCCACCAAAAAAGCAATACGTAAAACTATATAGGAACCTTGTAAGCAGTTATACAATCCCCTTAGATCTAATGGTGTATATAGTAAGCAGCAGCCATGCCTTCAGTTCGGTCTCCAACTATGGCCATGTCGAGAGTGTGGGCTCCCAGAACCCGCCCCTGAAGTGAATTGCTCTTGCGATGGCGACCACGCAGCAAGCTGCCTGTCTTGTTTGTCCCAGTCAAGAGCCATTCAATCCGATTCGAATCGTAGCCACCAGTTGATTTACAGCCCCTAAGTAACCCAGTTTTCCGCCGGCCAGCTGCCATTGGTTGCTAATCTCTATTTATAGAATTTATCACTCAACTGCATTGGAATTAGCGAACTTAAGCAGATCAGAGTGAGATTGGGGAGAGACTTAATAAATTCTTTATTGGGGGTAATTATATATTTTTGGAACAGCTTTTGGGGTAGCTTTGAAGATTTTCTAATCAAATCTGGCTTGCTTAATTATTTTATAAAAATTGCTAACTAATAAAGTGAGTGTTATAATTTATTATAAATTTATTTTAATTTAAGACAAGTAGAGTAAAAGTTGAACCACATATAACTTTGAATTCATTTTACTCTTCATT